GTTTTATTGCATGCAATACTTTCCACAAACTTAAATTAGATAATGGTATATAATTGTTTTCACTACAACTTTTTCGATAGAACATAATAGCGTGGCTATATTTTGTCGTCAGTATTGCATGCACTATCTTTTGTTCTTCACCGCTGTCGTATTTTAATTTGGTTATTCCATAAGCAACATCATGCAAAATGCCGCTTGTAAATATAAAGTCTAAGAAATGTTCACACTTTGTTTGATCAAGACTAAATCGGACGAATACTTTCTTCTCTGGAAATGCCAACCCTTTATGAGATGCATGCCATTTTCTTGCTGTTTCTATACGATGTTTGGTACACTCAAATGTGTTCATTATAAACTTTTTGGTATACTTGGTATGGTCTAATAATGAGAGGCATGAATAATTTTAATTGGGAGAGGGCTATTTATTTCATCAACATTTTTACTGTTAAGAAAATCTATAAGTATTTCCTCTTGTCCAGGAGCAACAGCTTCCGCAAATTTTTTCTTTAATAAGTTTTCTAGGCGAACATACTTGCGTTTTAACTTATCTTTAGTAGTATCTTCCAGATATTCGAACTTCCTTTTTAATCTAAATTTTATTGGACTTGCATTAAGAACCTCAGTTACACTCTCACGGCTTCTTAGAGATTCGTCCAAAATCTTCTGTGAAACATTAATTTCACCGGGATCAAATTCTTCATCTGGAGTAGCAGGTGTCATATATGTTTGTTCTTGTTGTGTTTGTGTTTCTGTACATAAATTGGTGTTTTCGTTGACTCTAGATAAAGCAGTTTCTTGCTTTAAATGAGTAAAACACAGCATTGCACCAACTGAAAATACTTCATTGTATCGCTTTGACATTGATATGACGACATGTATTGGTGACGCCCTTAAAGCGGGAGATTTTTTTCCTTTTATATTTAGATGGTGAGGATGAAAGCATGTTTTTGGAGGACTCCATGCAATACCAAACGTGTACCGGTGAAAAGCACATATTTGTTCATCCTTTTCAAGATTTCTTTTAAGTCTATTTGCAATAAGTCCATTTTCTTCCCAAATATTATTATCGTTTAATAGCATGACCTAAAAACAATTTTTTAAACAATTATTAAGTGTGTCATTTAAAGCATTGTTTATAATCTGACTCTTCACAAAAAATGTTTACAAGTTTGAAATACATTGTTGTTATTATTAAAATACAATATTGCAAGAGTGTGATTAATTTAGTAATTATTTATTAAAAGAGTGAGGAATTAATTAAAAGAGCTATTTTTTTTTGTTTAAAGAACTTTGTCTCAAAATCTTATTGCAGAGAAGTTATAAAGTATGTAATTATATAAGAAACAGAAGGGGTCCATTCTTGGACCCCTTCTGTTTCTTCTATATATTAACGACCTTACAAAAACCTCGAAAAAACTTGATGTTATAATGTTTGCCGACGACACAAATTTATTTTATTCCTCGAACTCAATCAAAAACCTTTATGAATGTATGAACAAAGAGCTTGAAAAATTAAACATCTGGTTGAAATTAAATAAGTTATCACTAAATACAGAAAAAACAAAATATATATTGTTTCATTCCAAAAAACAAAAAAATAATATACCAACTATACTTCCCCCACTAAAAATAGATAAGGTAAACATTAAAAGAACAGAAACAACAAAATTTCTTGGGATACTTATTGACGAAAATATAACTTGGAGAGCCCATATTAGTACAATAAACACCAAAATTTCAAAAAGTATTGGGATACTTTACAAAGTTAAACCTATGTTGTCCCAAGATAATCTTAAATCTCTTTATTTTTCTTACATCCAAAGTTATCTTACGTACGCTAATATTGCATGGGCAAGTACACACAAATCCAAGTTAAATACTCTTTATTTAAGTCAAAAACATGCATCAAGATTAGTTTATAATAAATATAAACTCACCCATGCTGAACCTTTACTAAAAACCCTAAATGCACTGAATGTTTACCAAATCAACATCTATCAAAATATTCTTTTCATGCTTAAATACAATCTTGGACTAGTCCCATCGCATTTTTTAGATAACTTTTTTCAAATTAACTCTAATAGATATACCACAAGAGCAACAGGGAACTTCACATTACCAAAAAAAACAACAAAGTTCTCACGATTCTCTATTTCCTACCGGGGTCCGTACCTATATAACAAAATAATATCCGAAAATATAGAACTTAAAACATTAAATAATTCTGCCACCTTGAAAAAAAAATTAAAACACCTCATACTTAATATCAAAAATTTTATTGACATGTATTAAACTTAACAACAAGATTTATACTAAAAAGTTTATGTGTATCACTGACTGTGTATTGTTTAACCACTTTTAACTATATATAAAAATTAATTAAATTTATTTAACCATTTGAAAAGGTACTTGATGATAAGACATAATAGTCTTCTGCGAGTCTCCTTTACAACAACATGTTTATATTTGAAGAAACAATAGTTTTTATTTAAAAAAAAAAACAGTGTTTATTAATCTAACGTTATATTTTATTATAATTGTTAAATTACGTATTCTTATGTTATGTTATATATTTTACTCTTTGCATTAAATTATATGATAGAATTGTAACGTAATGAAGTGTATATTGAAGTTGTAAAAAAAAAAAAAAAAAAAAAAAAAAAAAAAAAAAAAAAAAAAAAAAAAAAAAAAAAATTATAAAAATTATATTACAGTCTGCGTAAATTTAAAATACATAATTACCATTAAGTTGATGAGGTGTTTCTTAACATCAACATCTCCCAGCTGATGAATGTAGGACATTTTGTTTATAATTTTATGTTTTTTGAATGATCCACAATTTCCTTTTGAAAAGCAACAACAGTTTTTATAAAAATATTTGTTTTGTTCCATACTCAACTAAAAACAAGTTCTATTTATGCAGTACCTCTTTCTCAATAGCAATGATAAAATATCTACTCCATTTATGCAAATTTTAAAGATCGTTAAAATAAAGTTAAGACATTTTTATGGTAAAGTAAACAACCGCCCACTAACTTGTTTCTCCACAATCGTGATATCAGCGATTCTTCTTCCATTCGATCACCACAAGTTATTTGGTTATGACGTAAATTTAAATAATTCACTTCTGATCATGTATTGTTTTTTATTATTATTTATTTCAATTGTTATGATTTCTATATCATAGTCAGAAACGCTTAAATTTTTTCTTAACATTACGTGCAATGTTTTGTGTAATGCTAATTGCTAATTTTGGATGATAGAAATTTTATTGTGAGCGAAAACCTCATCCGTGTGTCCAAAAAAATATCTCTTCGTACTTAATCATTTTTAACAATTTGTACCTTTATTTTTAACTTAATATCTAAAGATCACATGAGTTTTTTTTTAAACTATGTTAGGGTCATCTTATATTGACCATTTAACATGATTATATTTTTACAAAACTTAGCGCCTCTGCCGTAATAGCTCATTTTGTAAGTATACTATAACATTTTTTTCCAATTTCAAGCCTTAATATATTAATAGGCCTTAGGTATCACATAACTTTCTTTGCATTTTTAGACTCAATACCTTTGACAATTTCAAATCCTAAAAGAAAAATTGTGTGCAACACTTCGCCGCTAGAATTAACTCCGATTAAAAATTGACAAAACTGATTGATTTTGTACTTTTGAACTATGATAATTAGCCAACCGCACAGTGTCACGCAACTTTTTTATATTTTTTGGAGAGAGCTTTTGGGTTACGTCTGGTATTAACTACAAAAGCTATGTGCAACTTTTTGCCTTGCCAAAAAAATGGGTTCAAAGGTGGCAAAAACTAAATTTCTAAAAATTTTTAAAAAAATCTCAAAAATTTAAGCCCAGAATCCGAGTGAACGAAACATTTTTGAAAATTTTTTTTTTCCCCAACAGGTTTTCTCTATATTCTGATCAATATATAAAAAATTCAAGCCATTTGGACGAGGTCACTTCCATTGACTGCCTGATTCTTACAAAAAATGACTCTTAAACAAAACAGAATTATGATATATTAAGGAAAAAACTAGTATGGCGAATTGTTTTTAAAAAATGACCTTTTATCTGATACCATTTTAGGCGGATAGGTACTTAGACCAACAACTTTTTAAAAAAAGTCTGTTCCGCTTAAAAAATACAATGTGCGTGCGCGCGCGCGCGTGTGATATCCTTAAAGTAACTTTATCGGACCCGGTTCGGCTAGTTTGACAGTGTTTATTATTAAAAGTGATTTCAAAAGTTGTTACATGAATTTAACAACACACACACGTATACACACTCAAAATAGCAAAATTATGTTACAAAAATGCAAACAGTTTTTCAAAAGTATCTAATATATTCTTAGTATTTAAAAAATCTTTTTTTTAACAATGTTAAAACCATCAAATAAACTAAAATTTTTTTCCAATATAAAAATTTTGCAATCAAGTAAAATAAATATTACACTTTCTATACACACAAAAAAATAATTTTGAAACAATAAAAAGTAAATTTTAACCTAAAATGGTTAAATATCATTTCTACTTGACGTAATCATATCGTAGCGCACCCTCAAAGAATGGGTGCATCCTTAATGAATGGGTGGATCCTTTAAGTCATATGATTTTAATAATGCATCATGAAACATTGCATAACGATATCATCTTACTCATTTATTCATATCTAAACTTTCAACATACATGTTTCAACATAAACTTTACTGTTCAACCATTACTTTAAAAGTATTTTGATCAACTCTGAATCAGGTTCTAAAAAAAAAATAATAAAAAGAACTGTACTAAAAAGCTTGCAAATATAACGACTTTTTTAATTACAAGAAGTTATGAGCTTTTGGGTCAGAGTCAGTGGTGTTAGAACCAAGCCATTCAGCTTGATGAACATTAAAGTACTGATAACAGCAATATTGGCAATATTGGTACAAAAAAAAAATAGCAATATTGGTACAAAAAAAAAGAGCTTATTCAATTTGATCAGAAATTTTATCTAAAAGAATGCAGTCTTGAGAACAAGGGGAACAATAAAGAACAAAGAGAAAGAGGATTGAGTGAAAAGTGCTAAGCGGAAACACTAAACAAAATTGCCAGAGAATTCAAACCTGATTTCACAATAAACAGGTGAATTGATGCGCAAGTACACGCCCGAGCCAAGTATGTGACTATTAAAGTCTTTACGAACCAAAGGATAATACCCATCAATGCTAAAATCTGAGGAAGAAACAGCTGAAATTAAAATAATTTCGCAAAAAGCAAGTAAGTCTGGTAAATTTTAGAAGAGTTAAAACAAATAGATGATACTGATATATTTTTATGTTTAATATTTTTGGGTACTTTTAGGTAAGCAAAAATCTTTAAGTAGTGTTAAGAAGATCCAGCATTTTTCGTCCTGGGCAGGAAACGATGTAACATGATTATACACCTGCTCAAGATGAACACTTTTTATCGAGACACCATCTCTAGCCTTTTATGAAGACACCATCTCTAGCCTTTTGTTAACCAAGAACCCTAAAACAGGAGAATTTTAAGTTAGAGTTAAAGTTTCCTAGCCTTTGCCTAAAAAAGCAAGTCCTACAAATAAGCAGGACATGGGTCAGGTATATTGGATTACATATCACCAGTAGCAGGATAAATTTGGTTGTAAAAATGTTAAACTTAGTTGCAACTTGAAAGTAAAAGAAAACTTTATTACTTAGAAATAAAAAAAGCAATCAGATCAAAAAAAAAAATAAAAAATAAAGAACTTCCAACAAGCAAAAACAAACTGCAAATATTCCATTCACAAGAGCTACAACAGAACCCAGAACACAGGCTCATCTTAAAGCAGGGTTTCTTAAAAGAAAGCTAAAATCGATGAACATAATTTTTTCATGGTTTTCACCAGGGGTGCGGAGTCGTAAAAAAAAAGTAGCGACTCCGATTCCAGTTGCTGAAATTTTTTGAGACAACTCTGACTCCGACTGCAATTCCAATTCCAACTCTATAGCAAAATTTGGAAAATTCTTTGAATTTCAACAAATAAGTTAAAACAAATAAGTTAAAAATTTCTTTTTTCAGATAAGTTAAAAATTTCTTTTTTGACAAATTTATGAAACGTTCTTTGAGGTTTAGTATGAACATAAGGTTAATTGAATGTTTTGTACATGCACGTGCAATACCAAGAAGTTTTACTATTGGAATGGAGTCGCGATTTTGTTTAGCGACTCCGACTCCGCTAAAAATGTTGCAACTCTGACTCCACAGCCCTGGTTTTCACCGTAATTTTACATCTCAGATTTCAAATTTCAATTTTTAGAAATAGTAATAAACCTTAAAAGCAACATTTTTACTGAAATAAATTCATAATCTAACAAACCTTTCAAGACCTCCATAACATGGTGGGATTCATCAGCAAAGTTTCGTATAACCTAAAAAATACAACCTAATATAAATACGTAAAAATCAAAGTAATAACTTTTTTGCAAATCATATGACATTAGAAGTCAAAAATAATATTTATTTGAAAAAATATATTGTAAATAAAATTAAATAAATTGTAAAAGAATATAAAACAATATCGAAATAAAACATTGTAAACAATTATAAATAAATCATAAAATAATATAAAAATGATTAGAAAATCTTATTTTATCTCAAATATTTTTTATTAATGGATCAAATATTACCTCATCATCTACATGTATATGTATTCCAGTTGGTCCTTGCCTTAGAAAATATAAAGTATAAATATATAAACTAAGTTTCAATTATGCAACTAGTGGTAAAAAACTTAGCTCACAATCAAAAAGTCCAAACTTCAAATCTAATCTATGCCTCTAGACTTGTATCAAATAAGTAAATTATAACTTAAGTAACTAAAATACTTAAAGTAAAAATAATAACTTTTATAAAATTGCTTAAAAAACTATATAACTGAAAATGCTTGAGAAACTGAAAGAACAAAAACTACATTATTAAGCGTTAAAAGGTATCTTAAAAAACTTTACTTGACAATGGATAATATGCAATCTTCTTTAATGCAACATTTTTTTGCAATTTTTCGTTTGAGATCTTCAACTGTAAGTTGTTCCAAAAACATAGCATGGTATTCTCTCATACCAGTATCACTTTGATGACATTCTGGAGATACATAAATGGTTAAAAGAGGTCGACTAGCTCTAAAAATATCAGTTAATTATTATCATTTAAAAGTTATTTGATTTTTTTAAAATTTTTTAAAAATTATTTAACAATTATTTGAGTTGTTAGTTGTTTTTTTTGAATAGTTCTTGTGTAATTTTAAATAGTTCTTGCGCAACAAGTTGCATCACAACATTGAATTAATTTTTGGTAAATTAATTACTAAATAAAAAAACAAAAAAACTTTGACATATGCTTACTGAAAAAAAATATAAAAAAATAGCTGATCAGCTGCTCAATACCTTAGATAGGGAAAAAAAAATTCTCCTAATGTACAGAATTTATACATTACACTTAATGTACAGTAATACTCTTAATGTATAAAATTTATACAGCCAAATGGTATCAGGCAAAAAAAAAAAAAAAAAAAAATTTTTAAAGAAAAAAACATAAAATGTGTGACCATTATAAAAAGTCAAATTGATCATTTTAATTTCATGGTTTTTTTAAGGTGATGAAGTTATAAAAAGGAAACAATTTCTTGCAATTTTACAGTCCATAGAGCAAGTTAAAAAAAAAAAAGATTAAAGTAAAGAAAAACAACCAAAAGCCAATAAAAATATGATACAAGTTAAATTTAACTCCGCGACAACAATTACAACTGCTTTAGCAAGGAAAAAAAGTCTAAAATATTATTTGTTTTTAGAATAAAGAACTTATCGGAGTTTTTAAGAATAAGACTTTACAGGAAATGAAAAAAACTTGCGATGCATGACAAAAATTCATGATGCAACTTAATAATAAAATGAAATAATCTTTTGATTTTGATTCTAATCAAAATTTGATTTTTTATTTTAATCCACTCCCAAAATGAGCAACCACTATTAAGTTGAGTTACTAGAACACAAAGAATAGAGTTAAAGAGTAAGGAAACGGTTGACAGAAGACTTGAAATCTTGTAGGTTGTATGAGTCAGAAAAATATGAAGACAGGAGAGAGTTAAAGTGCAAGGAAAAAAAAAAAGAATAAAACTTGATACTCAAATATACAATATTAAGTTAAGATTGAGTTTAACAACGAAAACAAAAAAAACAATGGCAGAGATTAACAAGTTTATGTTAGAGAATGATGTCACCTAATGCCAAAATAATTTTTTTAAATCATCACGACAATAGTAATAGTAATATTTATTGCTGTAACAATTACAATTTTTAAAAAATATAATAAAGTATTTAAAAATAAAATAGATTTTAGAATATGATGCAAGCATTGTGATATATACAACCTATGCAATTTAAAAGACTAGTTATTAAAAATATTTATCTATTTGTGCCCTGAAAACATTCAACGATCTTGCTTCTATGATTTTATTTATAACAAATTCCAATTATTCCAATTCCAATTACTTGATTGGTGAAAAAATGATATCTAAGTAAACATGATGGTGTTTATTCTCTTTCTAACCTGTATTTGTTACCCCTAACCAAAAAAGCTGAGCCTGAACGAGTCAAGGATTTTCTTAAATGTTGTTAAACCAATTGCTTTCAGCCTTTTTTCATATATGAAATCTTTTTTTTGTGGAACTAACTTTGTTGCTCTTCTTTGCACTTTCTCTAAATCATCAATATCCTGTTGTAAATATGGCTTCCAAGCTGGTATAGTGAACTCAAGAAGCAATCTCACAAATGCTGTATACAGTGATTTCAACATTTCCACCTCAAAGTTTGTAAATGTACATTTAATTAGACATCAATCACTAAAGACACTTGATCATGATATTTAAAGTCGGATGAAATAATCTCTTTCACATACTGTTGTATCTAATTTATACTAGTGTTGTCACGGTACCAAAATTTCAGTATTCGGTACCGATACCAGTAAAAATCTACGGTTCTTGGTACCAATTTCGGTACCAAACCAAAGATTAATTTAGACTAAATTTGCCAATAAAAATTCACAATTCTTTGTATCAAAGCAAAACACAAAAACATGCTAGCTGAAAAACACACTATTTTTATTAATAAAGTTAAACAATGCCATTCTTCATACTTGTTTAAAATTGTGTTTCAACTTTTTCCACAAATAATAAATGAAAAATTACAAACCTAAAAAACGCAATTTTTATAAATTAAACAAAATATGCCATGACCAACAAGTAATAAACTAAAATATTATTATAAATGTAAAAAAACAATGGCATAATTTAAGTATTTCAAGCCAAGGATTGTAAACATTTAAGTAATTAAATAACTAGATAAATAACAAAACAATAAGCCATGATTGAATAACCATTCTTATTTATAAACTTTGTTTTTTTTTTAATATTTTTTAAATATGCCAGTTATGGCATATTTAAACAAAATATGCCATAACTGAACAACAAGTCGTAAATTAAAATATTATTATACATGTAAAAAAACAAAACAACAACGACATAATTTAAGTATTTCAAGCCAAGGATTGTAAACATTTGAGTAATTAAATAACTAGATAAATAACAACATTTTTTTCAAACAAGTTTCACCCAAATCAATACTGGTCTACACAGTTATTCCTTAAGTTACTTTCTTTGGCATTTTCAGATTTTCCGATATAAACACTAACATATCAACATGTTCCTGACTCAGTCTTGAGCGTCTTGGGCTAACAATGTACTCTGCAGTACTGAATACTCTTTCAGATGAACAGCTAGATGCAGCAATGCAAAGGTACTTCCTGGCGAACTCTGATAGTTGAGGTAGAGTACCCATATTTGTTTTCCACCAGATAAGTGGATCATCCTCAGCACTGACCTCAGGCATCTGATCGTACACCAAGAATTCACCATTTATCTCGCCACTTGCAGAAAGAGGTGCTTGACTTGAGGATGCTGGCTCTCCTTTTTCTTTCTTTTCCCCTTCAATGGTGGAAAGCAGAAACTTTAGGTGATTTTTGGATTTTTTTGATGGCCTGACTTCTTTACTTGACAATCCTCCAGACACCCGAGATGCAATTCCTTCTTTTTCATTGCTCATTTTTTTCACCTTATCCAGGAGACTTTGCTTCACATCATCCTTTAGAGAGACAAAGCTGTTCTTAAATCGTGGATCAAGGTTGCAGTGTTCAAAAGAAACCGAAGCTGCAGGTCATCATAGCGATGCTGAAGATACTCGTGTATCTTTTCCTTCATCTCTTTGGCTAATGCAGAGTCACTTTGTTCATGACTGAGACACTCAAATATCTTCCAGAGTAACGGCAAGACTGAAGACAGGGTGGTATGTTTTTCCCCGCTAAGTGCATCAGTAAAAGGACTGAGTGGCTCAAGAACTGCTTTAACAGTTTCTAAAACTGTAATATCTGAGTCTTTTGGCATCAGATGCCATTTCTTCCTGTCTTCAGCCAGGACAGCACAGACAACCTGCTGCTGCTCCAAGAAACGTTCCACCATATCGTATGAAGAATTCCAGCGAGTGGGTTCATCATGAATGAGTTTGTGGTCTGGAGAGGTCAGATCTTTCTGTTTCTTGGTCAGCTGGCGTGAAAGTTTTGGGGATCTTGTAAAGGCAGAAATAGTTTTTTGAAGCCTTGACAGCACTGCAGACACCCTGTTTATGTCTAATGCCTTATTTACAGCAAGGTGGAGATTGTGCCCAAAACAAGGAATCCAGGTGTAGTCCTCAAAGGCTTTTTTGTTATTTGAGGCACTGTCTGTTGTGATGCCTGACATTCTTGCAATGTCCAACTTCCAGTCTTCAAGTTTTTCATCAAAGGCCTCCTTCAAACTTTCAGCAGTGTGGTCTGTGTTGAGACCACAACAGCCAAGACACCAGGATTGCAATTCCCATGATTTAGTAATGTACTGCAGAGTTAAAGACATGAAAGTGTCTGCAGTTCTACTTGTCCAAAGATCTGTTGTGCAGCTGTAAAATGATTTGTCACTGAGATGCTGAATTATGAGGTCTCTGGTGTCATTGTACATGCAGGGAATCTCAGTGTACATAAAAAAGTTTCGACTTGGAAGCTGGTATTTTGGGTTGAAACGATGGAGCATTTGTGGGAATCCACATTTTTGAACTGTATAAATGGGCACTTTATCAATACATATGAATTCAGCAACAGCTAGGTTCAGCTTTCTTGCCTCAGGTGAGTTTTTGTCATATTTTTGTTGCCACTGAAAAGCTTCTTTAACTGTTGCCTGTTTATGAGTTTGCGGGGGTGTTCCATGGTCTTCCTCAGCTTGCAGCTGTAAAAGGAAAATATAATAAATATACTTTATAAGTATAGAAGTCAAAAATGGGCTGAGTCTGAACAAATGAAACATTAGTTTTTCTCTAAATAACAAACCTCAGCTTTTATAATAGCCTATATAATAGCCTATATAAAAGCCTATATAAACAATTTTAATAAATAATTAGTACTTGTAAAAAGATTAAATATTTTAAATTTTGTTAAAAAATACTTTTTGTATAAAATTGTTTAATCCTTAACACGGTAGGTAATTACATAATTTCTATTAGTAGCACCATGGAAGTAAAAAAGTAAAGGATTAGAAGGATTTTTTCAATAATTAAATATAATATATGTAGTTTTATTTATTTTATAAGTATGTATTTTTTATAAAAAATTTAAAACTATTTCTATAACTATATTTATTTCCATTTTTATAATGCGATAAAAACCTTTAATACTTTAATCGAAAAAACTATACATAAAACTTTATTCGCTAAAATGTTTTCTTTGATAAATATTTTTTATTTTTTTGGAATTTTTTTATTTATTTTTTTGAAGAAGGAAAGAATCAGCAAAAATATATATTTATATTATCTTTTACTAAATTATATTTTTTTTTATTAAATTAAATCGTTTAGAACTATTTCTAATATTAATTTTATTAACAACAACGACTTTATTCAAAACATTGAACGTTGTTCAAAACTTTTAATGCTTAAACGTTTTAATTCGAAGTCACTTAAAAAGTTACATTTCGCTTTTGAAGTCACCGATTTTATTTTCTCTGTAAAGTCATTCTATTAAAGACGTCAAAATCTTTTTTACAAAAGACTTTTTACAAATAACTTTTTACAAACGACTTTTTACAAACGACTTTTTATGAGCGACTTTTTAAAAACAACTTTTTACAAACAACTTTTTACAGAAATACTTATTAAAAGAAAAGTCTTAACAATAGGTTGTAAAAAAATGTAAAAAAAGTATATATTTTTTTAATTTAATTTTTAAGCTTATTATTGTTATTTTAATCTTTCTATAAGACTTATTTTTGGCTGTTTATTTCTATCCGACTGGTTCAGACATTCAAATTAAAATATGATATATAATTCATAACAGAAGCTCTATATTTTAAATTAGTTTGAAACTTACCTGCTTGAACTCTTTCGTCAGATCCGGGTGTCGGTCTTTGAGGAGTTTTATTAAGTTCGATGTGTTTCCTTCTTTTGAGTGAAAACTTTGGCGACATTGTTTGCAAATGGGTTTTTGATTATCAATGATATTCCCCTTGTCATCAGCCGCAAATCCAAAATATTTCCACACATGGCTCTTTCCTCCTTTTTTCTCAACAAGTGGATTTAGAGCTACCACATCAGCTGCACCACCGGTCGCCATTTCTCAGCAGTTTAATAAAGAGGACGCGCTACTGCACGCATTCGCATCAAGGAATCGGGTTTGAACGGGTCTTCGGTACTACCGGTACTTAAGAAAACTTGGTACCGTGACGTTTAAATTTTTTTAGTACTGACTTGGTACCAAAGTACCGTGTACCGTGACAACACTAATTTATACTCTTGGCTGTCATGGTTCATACTATAACTTATTTGTGGATTCTTTTACTTACATGAATAAATTTGCACTTTTCAACGTTCAACTTGGTCAACCAGAAATCTGTCCATTTTACAAACTCATTGATACTAACATTAATTCTTGTCATGATAAGAAGCCAACACTCTCTGATTGCTTGGAGGGGGTATTTTAACTTGAAAAGGATCTCACTTCTGCTACAGCATAGGGCTCACAGTGACTGGTGAATTTTAATTCAGATAAAACTAAATTTTAGCTAATCGTTATCGCAATAATATAGATCTTTCTATATTTATGAATGGTAATGTACTCGATGAGTCATCTACCCTTCATATCCTAGGATTAAATCTCACTTTCGATCTTTCTTGGAAACCATAAATCAAATCTGTTGCAAAATTAGCATCTGCTAAGGTTATATCTCTTTATCGTGCTTGACACTTTCTTACATCTCAAATCAGTCCTTGTATAGAATATTGTTGCCATATCTGTGGCGGATCTTCCAAAGATGCCCTTTTAGACAAGGTGCAAAAACGCATTGTAAAAATTACTGGACCTGCTCTTGCAGCCAACCTTCAACCATTATCACATTGTCGTAATGTTGCTTCTCTTTCTCTTTTCTACAAATACTATAATGGGCACTGCTCTAAAGATCTATAATGGGCACTGCTCTAAAGAGCGTCTCTTGTGCCATCTATCTTATCCTTTTACTGTGACTGTTCCTAAATGCTCCAAAAACTCTTATTCCTCTATTTTTTTTTCTCAAACATCAGTTCTTTGGAATTCGTTTCCTTCATCTTGCTTTCCTGATTTATATAGTTTGCAATCTTTTAAGTTGTCTGTCAATTGTTATCTTGCTCTTGCTTTATCAAAGGCTTTGGCAAAATGCAAATATATATTATATCTACTGCTTTTTACACATTTGTTACACAGGTTCATTTTTTAAAAAGCCATGTTGATTTTTTGACAGCAATTCATTTCCCACAAGATGAGTTATTATTGCTTCTCTTACAAAATATTCCATAACCTTGCATGTTGAAGATGTTAATAAAAATACAGCACTAATGTATTTCATTTTTTAATTTGAACAACGCATAATTAATGAAGAACAATAATGAATAATCTTTAGTTTATTCAAACTGACATTTTAGATATAAACATACATACATTGAAGGTAAAAAACTACATAAATATAACTCTTATTTCCATTGGATTTCCAGCCAGACAATTTTAACAATTCCAGCAAATCCGGTTCCGGCTGGAATTGAATGTTTTCAACCTGGTACACCTCTAATTTAACAAAGATTAAGCAAAAGATTAGATTTATATTTAAGATATAATCACACTTAATGAAATGAAACTCAACACGTATCTGACAAAAGAATTACATTATAATAATTAATAACACTTTGCATAGAGAAAATCAGAATCAAAATAGTAGACTCATATCAAAAACTTGAAAATTTTATTATCGAATAGCAACTTTGATTATAAGATTACTCAAGTGCTGCAAAAGGAAAAACCATTTTATTACCTCCTAAAAAAATGTTATGATTTTTAGTAAGTATTTGGAGAGATTTATTATTAAATTGAAACCAAAACGAACCAGTTTTTCTAGTTAGTTAAACAAACCAAGATCTTAGAAAGCAACTCTGAAATTTTCTTATTTACAATAACTTGAAAAACAATGTTTATAAATCAATAATCTGGTTGATTTATAAGTCATATATAGTTCATAAACCAACTGGTTGCAACAAAACTCAACAAAATTATATCTGATTTATATGTGATCGTGTAATAAATGATTCTTATAACTTTATCAACATTTGTTTCAGTAAATTTAAAACATCTAATAGGATTCGCCAATAATTGTGAATTTGTTTAATGATTAAATGATGTTTTAAAACTATAGCAACTATATTTACAGAGGAAGAATAATAGAAAGTGAAAGTGTACTAAAGGCAAACTGATACATACTTACCCAATCTGAGATTGGGTAATCTTCTTGAATATTGCTATTTAAATCAACATTATTTGTTGACACCAAAATAATTATAACAAATAACACAAAAGTTACCTAAAAAACTACCTAGTAAGTAGCTACCTAACTAGTAAAAAGACTCTGCATCTAGCAAGTTCACTGAGTAACAACACTTATACTAAAAAACGCATCATCAATTGAAAACAAAAGCAATGAATTTAACAAGCAAACTGACGACTACAAAAAAAAAAAAAAAAATACAATTTTAACAAGCAAAAATAAAACTAAAATAATTACTGTTAACTTGAATTTTGATAGGTGGAAAAATTCAAAATTAAAGTAATAACAAAACTATATCACTAGGCATATTATAAACAATTATAAACTATCATTCACTATTATAAACAAAAAAACAGCAAATTACTGATCATATAAAAAAGATTAAAACCATATAAAAAGTTACTCTCAATAACTTCTTATATGCTTTTGCCTTCAGTAAATACTTTTAGTTTTTAAAGTTCAATTAGAACTTTTCAAAACATTTAAACTTCTTTTCAAAACATTTAAACTTTGATTCCTGCTCTAGTCTAATAATATACCACTTAAGGACTCTGCATCCCTGAGTCTAATAATATACTACAAGAGAAAAGAAAGTTAAAGTCTAAGGTTTAATTTTCTTCAAAACAATCAACAACTTAAAGTAAACAACTTTCAAAGCTTTTATCATCAACTTTTATGTTGAGCACTACAACAACCCAATAAAATAATTTAATGCAGGAAACCAATTTAGTCAAGATGATTTCATTTACAATGATAGCATCATGTATAATCCAAGAAACAATATCTAAAGTTATAACCATAATGAATAAACATTCAGGATTTTTCTTAGCCATATGATCAACAATCAATGCAATAAAAATATCAACTTAGCACCAAAGACCTTAAATTATATTTAGTTATCAACCTCAGCTGAATTGAAATGCTCAGTATTTTAAAGATTACATGGAATGAATGAATGAAATGGAAATGAATGGTGTAAGAAACTAAAAAAACTAGTTTTTTTTTTCCAGCATAAAAAAAAAAAAAATTTTTTAAATTTTTAGAATTCTTTAAACATCAGACATAAAGATTGAAAATGCTGATCCAACAGCCAAATTAAAAGCGTCTGAAGTCGGCCATTTTTGTTGACCTTGTTTTTATGTTGTTATGGTAAAATTTTTAAAAAAATGCTACAAATTTTGTGCCAACCTAATGCTGAGCATAAGCAATTTAAGATAATATAAAACAATATATAACATAAAACAATATATTTCTAGATAACATAAAACAATATATTTCTAAAATTATTTTTTATAAATTTCAAACTCATTATTTTGTAAGTAAAGCTTATGTTTTAAATTCAAAATTTGTCAAATTTAAAATTAATTTCTCAAATTACATTGATTTAATTGATTATTTAAAAAACCAATAAAAACCTTAGTAACAAACCGAGCTTGCAATGTATTATTTAAACGAATTCCATCAGCAGGTCCACACAGTTGAATTAGATCACTTCGACTTAAACGTAACAGATCATCACCTGAAAAAAAAACCTATAAAAATAAACAATGATACTAAGTTTATATAAATATACGTGTGTGTGTATATATATATATATATATATATATATATATATATATATATATATATATATATAAATATATATATATATATATATATATGTATATATATATATATATATATATATATATATATATATATATATATATATATATATATATATATATATATATATATATATATATATATATATATATATATATATATATATATATATATATATATATATATATATAGTAGAGGCCGAAAAATGAAGACTGGCTATGTTTTTTAAAGTTTTGTAATTTATTGTTGATTTCTGGCGTAATCAGTTTCTACAACTTCATTGCAACAAAAAACAGTGAATAAAACAAGATACAGTGAATAACATGAAACGTAATACAATAAAAATGAATTCACGCTTAAAATCTTAATTCCATTGTCTACTTCATTAAGGATTATTCATTAAGGACAAAAGTTAGAGTGACGTAACTTCTTTATGTATTTTTTATTGAACTATTTGAAATAAATTTTTCTTTGTTCAGATATTTTTGGTGTTACTCTATTGATTTGTAAGTATATAAGTGACACAAACACTTTTTTTAAGGTAGTAGTCAGAAGTGAAATGAAAAAATCTGATGCAAAAAAAGTACAAAACAAAATATTAGTGAGGTCATACAAAACAAAAATTTCCAAAATTTATAATTAGCACTAAGAAGATTAGTGAAATGTTTAAATAAATGTTCAAAAGATATTAAAAAATAAAAACCAAAATTTTTTAAATAGGAACTAAATATTTTAAAATATGGGCAAAGCATGTTTTTGATAAGCCAGTACACTTATACTTTTGAAAGAATAGTGGCAAATTTGTTTTGGTTTAAACATGTAAAGATAACGGTCAAAATTAGGTTCAAAATTTCTAAAGCTTGTTTTCAATATGAAACATATTTAGAAGTGTCTTTAAAGTTTGCTAGAAGCTTTTTTAACTAATTTTGATTTAAATAATATACATGTTGCCTATATTAAAAAAAAAAATAGTTGCTTTGTGAATCTGTGTTAAATGAAGTCCTGAAGTGGATTAAAATTTGCTAATTTTTATAATAAGTATTTAATTTAATAAATTTAAATGTGAAATCTTATCTATAAAATAGTGATCAAGATAAGGGAATGGTTGCCTTAACGATTTAAAATTTATAATTCAAAAAATAATCTAGGAGAAATTATTATCATCATTGATACAAATAATTTTTTTATTTTTATTTTTAAAGATTGTGTTATGACTTGGGGTTTCGTTGCTAGAAGAGTTGACTTAGATTCTTTTTGACTAAAGATTGTGTTATGACTTTGGGTTTAGTTGCTTAAAAATCCTTTATTAACTCCAGCACAATTGCAAGCTAGGATTAAATTTTGTAAGAATTTAAGAGACAAGACACTGGAATAGTGGGAATGAGTAATGTTTACAGACCAGAGTATGTTTCAACAATTTAGAAATATGGGCTATAATTATGTTAGAAGACCTGTTAAAGAATACCTGAATCCGAAGTATACCATAAAAACACTCAAACATCCTCCTTTAGTTATAGTATGGGGTGCTATCACAGTACAAGGTCAATGTGGTATGCACATCTTAAAAAAAGGCAAAAAAGTTAATGCACAAAAGTATCTACGTGTGTTAAAAGATAAAGTGAAACTGCATATGGAAATTACCAAAACCAGCATATTTTAGCAAGATTCAGCACTATGTAACACAGTTAAAATAATTAAGACATGGTTTACTGATAATAATATTGAATTATTATCTAACTGGCCCTCAAGTTCATCCAATCTTAATGACATCAAGAACTGCTGGAATGTTATGAAGCAGAAAGTTGTAATCAAAATCTAAATAACATCTCCAAAAAGTTCAAAAAGAAGTTTGGACTAATGAAATCAAATCAGAATTGTATATATATATATATATATATATATATATATATATATATATATATATATATATATATATATATATACACACACAAAAATAGTTAAAAATAATCATTAATTGTTAATATTCAATATATTTTTAACTATTTTTGTGTGTATATATATATATATATATGTATATATATATATATATATATATTTATATATATATATATATAAATATATATATAAATATATATAAATACATATATATATATACATATATATATATATATATATATATATATATACATATATATATATATATATATATATATAAATATATATATACATATATATATATATATATATATACATATATATATATATATATATATATATATACATATATATATATATATACATATATATATATATACATATATATATATATATATATATATATATATATATATATATATATATATATATATATATATATATATATATATATATATATATATATATATAAATTAGTAGAAAATCACTTTACAAAAAATCTTTTTCATTGAAAATAAGTTTAAAAAAATTTTTGTTACGTGATTTTCTACAAAATACATTACCGTCCATAATTATTCAATGTTATCTTCGTTTTTATTAGATTTACAAAAACTAATATAAAGTCTGATTAGATTAATTTATAATTTACTTGCCTTTTAAATAACCTTAGAAACAATAACCGCTATACATATTCTTGACATTTTACTTAACCCTAACCAACCTATGGTTCCATTTAAGGAACAAATCTTTGAGATGCTACAACTTTTTTTGTAACCATTATTTTTTTATTCCATAAAAAGTTATAGAAAGACGATATTATTGCAAACAAATATATATATATATATATATATATATATATATATATATATATATATATATATATATATATATATATATATATATATATATGTATATATATATATATATATATATATATATATATATATATATATATATATATATATATATATATATATATATATAATATATATATATATATATATATATATATATATATATATATATATATATAAATGTTTATCTTTTTTTAAACTCATGAAATTTGCAATTGATTTTGGAATTTTTTCCAAAGATTTGACTCTGTTGATTGATGATTTAATGGCTTATATTTTTTGAATGTATTATTTTTTTTGTATAAAATAATTATTTTATTATACAATTATGTGTAATAACTTCATTTATTAAAAAAATAAACTATTCTTTGTTATTTTCCAATATTTTTAGAGCAATTTATGTGTGTTCCGTATATGGAACATTTGGTTGTTCCGGTCGTTGTTTAAAGTGAATTATTTAATTACAGCTTTTTGTTATAATTTATTACGGTTTTTTTTTGTTACTGATTGGATAAATATGTTGTCATAATTTAAGATCCAGTCTTTGGTATTACTGGTTTGACTGGATTATCTTGATTTTAGAATTGTAAACTTGTGACTTGAATAATTTAAAATGACACAAGGTTATTATAGAAGAAGAAACTTGAGTTGAACAATTCCAGATTTGTCGTCTTTTTAAAAATAATTTTAGAATTATTTACGATTGTACTGCGCATTTTATACAGTGTTTTTTATACAGAATATTAGGGGGGGGGGGGATGTAAATTCTTTTTAGAAAAAAAATTTATATATCATAATTCCATATAATTTTTCATTTCAGATGAATAATATTGAAAATCTTAGAGAAAGTAAAAAGAGAGATGCAATAATATGTGATTTACCATTTGCAGATGAATCTGATATGGACAATGGAATTCAGATGATGATTATAATATTTATGACATGCAATCTAAATTGAATAAAAAACTTAATTTAGGTGATGGTGAAACACCCTTCAGCAAAACACTTGACAATGATTCATCAGAACAATGGGTAAATGAACAAAGTCTAAACTGCAGAAAAAAAGAAGATAAAACAACCTAAAAAAATTGGTAAAGATCATCAAAATTATGATTAATTGTTTAAATTTCGTAAACTGTATGATCGTGTTTTACTAAATTGCAACGCTATTGATCCAGAAGAGTATAATAGTATTGATGAGCAGATTGTTCCTTTATAAAGGTAAAAAACCTCTATGCGGCAATACAATCCAAAAAAACCGTGTAAATGGGGATTCAAATTCATAACTTGGTGCGGTGCTACATCTGGGGTCATTTATGATTTTTTTCTATATACTGGCGCAGAGAAAACAAATATTGCACCAATCTCTACTGTAACACAAAACACTATGGCTTCATCAAATATTGTATAAGTTACTGACCAATCTAAGCTCATTAAAAAATCATTTCGTTCATCTATAACAGTATCTCGGTTTTATAATAATCCCTCTCAAAAAACAAAAACCTCAGATGACATACTTTCTCAAACTTCAGCATCAGCTTCCAGTGAACCATTAAGAAGACCAATATGATACAAAGCTGGAAACTGAATCTCTATACCGCCAACAAAAAGAACGCTTGGAGCAAATTTTAATAATACTGCTTCAACAAAATTTGAAAAAGATGGGTTACCAATCCGTATCTACTATTAGAATAAATAGAGTTAAAATAAAACTAACTCCAAATTTTGAAAAAAAGCCAACAGGTACTATTGAATTGTATGTCAATAAAGATGATGGTATTTTCTTGATTTGTTGGAATGATAACAAACCGGTCAATTTGTTGTCATCTTATGTTGGTAGTGATCCAGTGTCAACAATCAGTCATTGGGATGGTAAAGCTAAGAGTAAAAAAAGAGTTCAAATTGAATGTCCTGCAATTATTAAAGAGTACAACAAGTACATGGGCGGTGTTGACTTATGTGATATGTACCATTCATTATATCGTATTGATCGCAAAAATACAAAGTATTATGATCACATAGTATACTATTTATTCAGCGTGTGTATGACAAATGCTTGGTTGATATACAAAATTGTTAATAAAGATGGTAAGGATAAGAATATTTTGCTAAGAGACTTTATTCTAAAAGTATCTGATAGTTTAATGTTGACTAATAAAATGGTGTTAGATCTACCGAGTCTAGGAAGACCTGCAGCGAATCTTGCAAGTAAGAGTAGCATTGAAGAAAATTTTTATCCAACTTCAAAACGAAGGAAAGTAAATGACGATGTAAGGTACGATAGAGTTGATCATTGGCCAGATTTTATTAAAGGAAGACATCGATGTGCAAACAAAGATTGTGATTTGAAATCCTCAGATTTACCCTAAAACATAAAGTTTAATTTTTTTTTTTTTTTTTTAATCTTCATTAAATTTAATGCTTATTTCAAATTCATTTTATAAAAAATTTTATATTTAAAAATGAAAATGCAGGTTAGTTAGGGTTAACAACTTATCCCATTTGTTAAAGTCAATTTTATGCCACTAACTAATATGTTTTTTCCACATCATAATTAGAAATTATTTTTTGACATTACTTTAAATTCTTTCCATAAAAATCCAATAGAAGAGAGATCTTGTGATTTGGGAGGCTAAATCATTTTATTTAATATTTGATCATTCTCGATCTCAGTCAAATAACTTTAACAAACAATTTTTTGAAAAGTATGTTTTAAATTTAAGCTTCATGTCTTATCTTCTGAAATAATGAATAATTTCTCATTAATCCATCTTTTCAAAGGTGTAGCATATTTTTTTCATTACTTCCTCTATTTTCGCTAAGTCATCTGTGGCTTTCTAACCTAAGCAGCACCACATCCATCATGTTTTACAAACAGTAATACACATTATTTTATCATAAATTCAACGATTTGTTTTTCCAGACAAAAAATCTTAACTTGAAACTAAAGATTTAAAACTTTGACATGTTGGCCCACGATTACTTGTCGTTGATTTTTTTTAGTTTTATGTAGTTTTGCCCTCTTTAGCATTTTTATTATTCTTAAGATTAAGTAAAGATATATAAACATAAACATTTTTTAACAAAGTTAATGCCATTCAAATAATTATGAACAGTGGTGTATGTATATATATATATATATATATTATATATATATATATATATATATATATATATATATATATATATATATATATATATATATATATATATATATATATATTATTTATTATTAATGTATTTAATTCAAACAACATGTACATATAAATAGGCACAAGGTCCATAGATAAAAATAAATAAATAGTCAATAAAAAGAACAGATACAGTCATCTAAAATTATCCATCATTTGGACAGTCCTAATATTCTGTTAATTATTCCGAAAGTGAGGTTTCTTTTGGCACACTCAACAAGCTGTTTCTTTAAATTGATCCTATAGTTAAATAAAATAGTTTCAAAAGTTGGGAGCTCTAAAAACATCTGAGTCAGACTGCAATATTTTCTATATCCAAAAAACATTTTTAAACATTTGTTAAAGCAATATCGTAGGTGTGCTAATGTTCTTGTGCTAAAACTGTTCCATAAGGAAGCATTATATATACATATACAATGTGATTGGAATAGTCTTACTTTGACTAGGCTTGAACACCTGTAAAAGCGCCTTATTAGCATATTTGTTCTAGTATATAGATTTTTTTATCTCTTTTTTTATATCAGTATCATCTGCTAGATCATTTCTCACAATATGACCAAGATATTTAAAGCTGTCAGCAAATTTCAGATTGCAACCTGCTACACTCAATTTTGGAAATGACAACGACGCAATTTTTGATTTTTGCTTAGGGTTAAAAACCATACAAACTGTCTTTGTGTTAAAAGACATATTAATTAATAAGGCTTCGGTATTAATTGCATTCAATAACTTTTGTAGAGACAACCAAGAGGGAGCTATAAGTACTATGTCATCAGCATAAGCAAGAATATTGAGAAAAATCCCTCCTATATTGCAACCAATACGCATATTTTAGATTTTAAATACAAGATTACTAATGTAAAACCTAAATAGTAACGGTGATAAAACACCACCTTGTCGCACACAATTTCCTATACTAAAAGCAGGAGATTTAGCTTTCTGCCAACTAATACACATTTCCTGGTTGCTATACCAGAATGCAAGGAGATTTACAATATATATATATATATATATATATATATATATATATATATATATATATATATATATATATATATATATATATATATATATATATATATATATATAAATCAACATTATTATTGCTCAAATATTATTTTGCATTATTTTGATCTCAATATATTTTCTTCCATTAATATTTAGTATGCGATTTTCTCATACTTCAAACAAGAAATCAAATTTCAATACCAGTAAAATTAGCAAAACAGCTGCAGTACTTTTGGAATCGGTTATATCGGAGCCAAGTTTCTGTTTCTTCAACAGTGCTACTTGCTGTTAAGGTCTAAATAGAAGATCATTATCAGTATGTCAGAATTTATATATATATATATATATATATATATATATATATATATATATATATATATATATATATATATACATATATACATATATATATATATATATATACATATATACATATATATATATATATACATATATACATATATACATATATATATATATATATATATATATATATATATATATATATATATATATATATATATATATATATATATATATTATATTATATATATATATATATGTATATACATATATATATATATATATATATATATATATATATATATATATATATATAGAGAGAGAGAGAGAGAGAGAGAGAGAGAGAGAGAGAGAGAAAGAGAGAGAGAGAGAGAGAGAGAGAGAGAGAGAGATTAGTAGAAAATCACTTAAATTTATTTTTTCATTTTACACTGTGTTTCATCAACAAAGACTTATCAGAAATCAATGATCAAATTAATAAAACTTCAATTGATACCAAAAAATTAAATTACAGGAAGTCGCAAATGTTTAAACTACTGTAAATTTTCACACATTTGTGAAATTTGCTGACACTATTATAAAAAGAATTCTTTAGAAATGATTAATTTTTTTTTATAAAAATATTTTTAAAAAAGGGGGGATTTATTGTAACTATTATTTGAGCCCACTTATTTTTATAGTTTTTTAGGAGAAACTTATTTTCGTGCCTGCATTTAGAAATCAATTACGATTTTTTGTTTAACAAACATTCTTGGTTTGCATGTGTAATTATTTGAAATTTTTCTTGTAGACATAGTATGCATTTTTTGGAAATATTGTTGTATGCAGGCGCTGTTTTAATGATGGACCAATTCAGTATAAAATCATCAATATTTTTATCTTTTAGGTCCCATATATATTTTGACAGCATGGTGTCTTTTGAATACTTTTTATTTTTAAAAGATTGCTTATGATTGGCTAACTAAAAATCATCAATTAACTTAAATCATCCAACACAAATTCTAAAACAAATCCCGATTTCAATTAATAACAGGTTAAACCAAAACTCCTCTAATGAAAATGTATTTAATTCCTCCAAACGAATATTTGAAGATGCCCTTAAAAAAAATGGTTTTGAAAACTTTGACCCTGAAAAAACGAATACAAAAAAAAAGGAATAGAACTAGAAATGTAATTTGGTTTAACCCCCCTATATAGCAAAAATGTTTCCACTAACATAGGAAAAGTGTTTTTAAAATTGGTCGATAAGCATTTCCTTCCCTCAAATAAATTACATAAAATTTTTAATCGAAATACAATTAAAGTTAGCTACAGTTGCACAAAAAATATGGAAAGAATTATAAAAAAGTCACAATAATGCTTTGTTAAATAAAAAAGAAATCCAAAATGAAAAAACTACAGAAAATTGTAATTGTAAACAAAAAAACAATTGTCCAATGAGTGGAAGTTGTTTATCGAAAAATGTGGTATATAAATGTGTTGTTTCTTCTAAGAATGTACCCGATAAACAATATATTGGCATAACAGAGGGTGAATGGAAAAAACGTTAGCCAATCATAAGCAATCTTTTAAAAATAAAAAGTATTCAAAAGACACCATGCTGTCAAAAGTTAAAAATATTGATGATTTTATACTGAATTGGTCCATCATTAAAACAGCGCCTGCATACAACAATATTTCCAAAAAATGCATACTATGTCTACAAGAAAAATTTCAAATAATTACACATGCAAACCAAGAAAGTTTGTTAAACAAAAAATCGGAATTGATTACTAAATGCAGGCACAAAAATAAGTTTCTCCTAAAAAACTATAAAAATAAGTGAGCTCAAATAATAGTTACAATAACCCCCCTCCTTTTTTTTAATATATATATATATATATATATATATATATATATATATATATATATATATATAAACAAAAAAAAAAGTTAAAAAATACTTGATATCTAAAAAATTTTTTTAAATAAACAGACAACTCATTTTTTTGATGCAATCTTTAAAACTATGTTTTTTTTTCAAGTGTACGTTTATTCTTTTTGCATGCTGTATTTACATATCTTATCAAGTATTTTTTAAGTTTTATGAATTTATTTGTGTATTGGTGAATTAATTTCAAACCTATTGAATATTACACAATTGATCTAATGATGCATAAATTAACTGCAAAAAAATAATCGTACATTTTGAAAATAATTTAAAATTTATCAAACTGCATGGAAATTAGTATCAAGTGGGGGCTCCTTGGGCCTTGATGGCCTCAGCTAGACAATTTGGCATTGAATTGACCAAATTTTGGGTCTCTTCTGTTGTTATATAATCCCATGTGCTCATTATAAATTCTTTCAAGTCGTCTTAGTGTCTAAATGCTCATTTGCCAATTTTTCTGCTGTCTAAAATATACCACAAATTTTCTATTGGATTTAAGTATGGATTATTAAATTCCAAAACATTGATTTTATTTGTGTCAAAGTTATTTGTCTCAATCATTAAGAAGCATAATCTGATTGAAACCATTGCTAGTGTGGCTGGTGGAGGAAAAAAGACTACCAGTGCAATTGATCAAAATATCATCATTAATGTGATGAAAAATAGATTTGTTTCAGCAGCTTTAAAAATTCAAGACCTGCTCTTGCAGCCAACCTCCAACCATTACCACATCATTTTAACATCGCTTCTCTTTCTCTTTTCTACAAATCCTATAATGGACACTTCTGTAAAGGGCTAGCGTCTTTTGTGCTATCTACTAAAATTCATTGTCAAGTTACTCGTCATTCAATTAAATCTCATTCTTTTTCTGTGACTGTTCCTGAGTGCAGAATGCAATAGTGGTTGCTTGCAGCATGTTGGAAGCGAAGATGAATATATATATATATATATATATATATATATATATATATATATATATATATATATATATATATATATATATATATATACATACATATATATATATATATATATATATACATATATATATATATATATATATATATATATATATATATATATATATATATATATATATATATATATATATATATATAACAGGTCTGTTGTCTGGATCACAAGCTGTAGAAGAGTCTGCTGCAGAAAATTGCTTTAGATACAGAAGCTATAGTGGTACAAATATCAAGCAGTAGATCAACCTGTTTGCTGGCTATATCAGGTAGGATGTAATTAGTGGAATCAAGAGATGAGATTAATGGAAAGTTCTTAGCAAACAATTAGTCTCTGGGTGAGGTAACAAAATCTGAACCATGCAAGAGGGTAGGAATAACAGATTTGCTCTTATTATAGATACTGTAAAAGATTCTCCAGAAGTCTGTGGAGTCAAATTTTTGAGATGAAAGATTAGATTTTATGACCTAACAATAGCAGGTTTTGGCATTAGATAAAACCTTTACAAAGGTTTCTGGAAATAAACAGACATCTGTTTTCCAGAGAATTGTTTTGGTGATAAAAGTAATGGTTTTGGTGATAAAAGTAATGGTTTTGGTGATAAAAGTAATGGTTATGATTGGAAATTACAGCAGCACAATGAGAGGAAATCCATGGAGATGAGTGAGGCTTGACTTGCAATTGTTGAAAGGGAATAAAAGATTCCATGGCAGCCTGAATGCAAGAAATTACATAAGAAGCACATTTGTCAGCAGGACAAAAGATTTCTACCCAAAGACCATCACAAAGAAAATCACGGAAAGAGTCCCAGTCATCTTTGAAGTAGTTATAAAAGGAAAAACGATAGATTTCTGATGATGAAGAAAAATGAAATAATAGTTTTAGAGAGATCAAGCCATGATCAAAAGCACGTAAGGGTGAATGCTGAGAAACTGAGTACTGACTAGGATCAAAAACAAGACATAAGCTGAGTAGAAAGGGTAAATGATTCAGATTGTCTGGAAAGTAAGTAGGAAAGTTGACTATTTGTGTTAGAGATTAAAGGCATAAGCTGTGGGCCTTAACACCTGCAGAGTCACTGACACTAGAACCGAGCTATTTAGTGTGATAAGCATTAATCACCAACAACAATGATATTGGTTGAAGGATAAAAATAAAGGGCATGGTCATTTTGATCAGAAATAACATTAAAAAGGGAGCAGCCTTGAGATGAAGGAGAACAATATAGAACAATAATAAAAGTGATAGAGTGAAGTGGTGCTAATGTAAATGTAAATGCCCAGGTTAAGCATGTGACTATCAGAGTAATTACAAATTAAAAGAAAATAACCATCGATGCTAAAATCACAAGATGAGACAGCTGAACTCAAACTTGTCTCACAAACAGCAATAAAGTGTGGTGAACTTTGCAAGAGATAAGACTCAATAGAAGAATAGTTACTTCAAAGACCATGAATATTAGTGAATGATAGACTTGGAGAACTTGGCGATGATGATGGTTTTTAGCGTTTTATAGTTTTTGATACTTTAGTCATTTTTTAAATTAGTTAAAGAACTTGACTCAAAGCACAGATAGTACTTAGTACTCTACTATTTACTCAATACACTATTTAAAAGCCCAAGCAATTGCCTCATTACAATTAATAAACCCTAAACCATAACAAAGGGCTCCAAATGCGGCCTCGACAATGTACACCAAAAGTACTAACAGGGACACCATCCATACGCAACATGGCACTTTTAGTACTAATATTTTACATCTGTTGATGGAAGTAGCCTCTTTGAGAGCTTGAGATGGATGTTAATGGAACCTGACAACCAGCCGATCTTAGAACCATAAAACTGAGTTTTAGAGCTTTATCCTCATTAGGAGGTAATGGAATGAGTTGCCTAGTCATAAAAACAGATACACAAGCAAAACTTAAGCAATGAATCAAGAAGATCCAAAATTCAACATCCTAAACTGGAAACAATGTATTATAAATACATTTAGGATGTTGAATGAACCTATACCAAAAAATGTATGCATACTCCAATGAACCTTTTGCTGCACCAATCAATATACATGCACTTTGCATGAGGAAAAAAAAAGTTTAAAAATTTAAAATTTTTAAATTTATAAAAATATTTATCAAGAAATAGGATTAGTCATTAAAGATTATTGAATAAAAACATAATACATTCATTAATAACATAATACACTTTTTAGTATACATAATACATTTTTTAGTTGACATAATACATTTTTTAGTTGACAATTAAAAGTGGCGTTTTTAGGTGACTTTAACTTATGAAATTTAAAAGTGGTGTTTAATATGACAATTAAAAGTGGTGTTTTTAGGTGACTTTAATGTAAATTTAATTACAAGTCACTTGTTAAATAAAGTTACATTAAATGTAACTTTATTTAACAAGTAACTTTTAAATAAAAATGTTAAAGAAGCAATAACTGTTATTGTAAGATTTTTTTACTGTAAATGATTATTTTTTAATGTTGCTTTTGAAGCTGCAATTTTTGTAGGATTGAAGTATGCAGAATATTATTTTTTTTTGAGAATTTTTGTAGGATTGAAGTATGCAGAATATTATTTTTTTTTGCTCCAACGATAATACGCTTTAGCAGTGACTAAATTTTAATTATTGAAAATTAAAACATCAAGTTCACTTACAGGTAAAGGGGATGCAACACCAGGTGTCGAAGCTAAGCTGCTGTTACAACTTTCAAATTGCGATGATCTAAATATATTGCTTTTATTTTTCACTGTAACACAATGGAGTATAAAAGTGACAAATAATTTTTATGCATATATTAAAAATAAAAAAATATAAAGGTAGTATTAAAAAAAAAAATTCTTATTTCAATTGAAATAAGGTTAAAACAAGGTATTGAAAACAAAAATGCCACACATTTATTCTCATTGTCATGTACTTATTTGTATTTTATAAAAGAATAACTATTTTTAAAAATATTCTAGTAAATTTAACATTATTTTAGTTGGAGCTTATAAGAAAGATTGAGACAAATATGTAACAGAAGATTTTCTTATAGGAAGAGTTTTTAGGTGACTTTAATGTTTGTTTGTTGTTTTTTTTTGCAACATATTGGCAAAACAAAAAAAGAGTGCTATAGAGCTACAATGGTAGTATTTGTGAAATAGAGAAATTTGAAAAAGCTTGAGATAGATGCTAAAAGTTCTTTAGTTAGCCATGTTTTCTATAGCATAGATAACTAAGCAAGGACAAGGAAAGTACAACAATATTCACAATACCCGTTTGCATCTTGTTGAAAAGCAGGAAGAAATCATTAGATATACCTGCACAGATATAAAACAGTTTTCAATACAATAAGATTTTTATTAATATTATTACTACTATTACAACTATGGGATGCTTGTCTATTGAGATTTTTCCCATGGTAAACTTGAAAATCAACACAGAAAATTAAATAAACTTTGGATGATTTTATCAATTTAATTTGTACAAACCTAAAAGTTTTAGCTAATATTAACTAAATGATTAAAATCTATTTAAATAAAATCTAATAATGTTCGAAAAATCATAAAAAATAGTTAAGCTGTTTTTGTACAACTTTTGATTTTACATCACATAAATCAGAGCTTGAGGTAAAAAATTTAAATTATTTTAGTGTATAGAATTTTATTATTGAAAAAAGTTCATGCAAAACTTGCAATTTTTATAATCCAATTAGCTGTATTATAATTTAGTTATATTATAATTACAATTGCATTTGATAAATCAAGTATTTACATTAAATAATTTCTAAATTTTTTTTTTTTTGTTAATTCACCCTCCAAAGCCAAGAAGACCAGTTGAGGAGGCTACTTTAATTGTGGTTTCAACCCTCTCTCAACTCTTTAACTCCAAAACACGAACTATGGACTCCAAAACATGAACCCAAAAAAGGCAGCTCTCTTGAGAAACAAGTTAAGTGTGATACAATCAGGGATGTGGTGGGGTGGGGTGAGGATTGAAAGTAGGAAAAAAATCCACAAAAAAAAAAAAAAAAAAAAGGAAAAATAGCAAAAGCATTTGAAGACTATATCAACCTCAGGCTTAGACAGGAATGGTGTGCGATGGAGCGATATTGCTGGCCACACAAATGATTTTATTTTTTGACAACTTGACTACAATGTTTAGAGCCACGCAAATGATTTTATTTTTTGACAACTTGACCACGACTGTTTAGATGTTTAGATAATTTTTAAACATTTTAGAAATGCACTGAAAAAAGAAAACTTAAATTAGGAATTAAAAAAAATAATAATGAAAAAAGAAAACAATTCCTTACGAAAAAAAAAATATAACCACTAAAATAAAACTCAAAAAATTAAACTCAAAGTGAAAAAAAAACATTATTTTTACACTTACGAAAAATTTGGTAAAGGATTTCAGATGTCACTTCAGTTTTAGTTCATAACAATAAAAAAAAATCAAATACTTATTTCTTAAACTTCTATTTTTTGACATGCAAATAGAAGAAGAATATTAGAGATTGGTACATACAATTATCCAATGAGATTAGTAATGAAGTTAAACAGAAATGGTTAAGCAACTTCAGTTCAACACTAGAAAAATTAATATATATTTAAGGTACATCTCAACCAGCAGTATTTGTTAGACATGTAATATCAGATGTGACTGTGAAGTAGACATGGAGTTTATATGGATGCCTTTAAAACAAGTCTAATTTAATTTAGTGCATATACTGGAAGTTTATCTCAGTTCATTGTGTGATTTATGGAGAACATTTACCAGTAAAATATTTTAACTAATTATTCTAATTATTTTTAAATCAGTGTTAGAAACTTAAAACTATACATAATCATATGAAAAAAATTTAAATGTTAAATTTTTAATTTATTAATTAATTAAATCGAACCAAGTGCCTCTTCTTTGCCAAGTTACTTTTCTTTACAGTGGCTTAAGTGATTTTTTTTTACTTTTTACTGGTTACTACTGGCTGGTTTTACTTTTTACTGGTTTTTTTTACTTTTTACTGGTTTTTTTTTTTACTTTTTACTTGTTACTACAAATAGATTTACAAATCTCTAGACCAAATTCTTCTAACCAAATTAAATCTCATTTGATTAAACTGAAAAAAAATTAAATCCTGGATGACATTTTTTTTGCAAAGATTTTTTACTACTGAATGATGTAATACAACGTTGACAGTCTCAACAGGTGGCTCAACAGGTGGCTACTATAGTTAACTAGATTTGTTTAATTATATCTTTTAAAAGAAGGTAAACACAAAATAATGACATGAAAATGAATAAATTAAATGTTTATTTCTTTATAAAGATGATAAAGTTGATAAAAATAAAAACACTTAATAACATAAACTTACCCAGTAAAAAAAGTATTGCATGTATAAGTAGGCGATACATTGGGAGACCAACCCTCTTTTTTTATAGGTGTTTCTGAATTAAACCGCCTCATTCGTTTACTCTCATCAAGCTACCCAGTAATTTTTGAAAATATTTTTAAAAATATTAATATAGCAATTAAAAATAGTGCCAAACAATTATTAAAAAAATTTATTTGTAAAAATATTTTTAAACCTTTGTAAATACAGTTATATCCTGTGATGGTTGCAACAGTGCCTAATAAAAAAATTTAAAATCACTTAAAAAAAAATAAAACTGATTTATTCATTATTCATTTAAATTTATTTATTTACTGATATACCATGATTTATATATAGTTCTTTCAATTCAAGTCTTTCATGCTGAATTGCTTCCAATGAATTTTTTTTCTTCCAACATTTTTTTCCATAAACTTTTATCAAAGTCATAGATTTTGAGTTCATCATCATCATCATCATCATCATCATCATCATCATCATCATCATCATCATCATCATCATCATCATCATCATCATCATCATCATCATCATCATCATCATCATCATCATCATCATCATCATCATCATCATCATCATCATCATTATCATCATCATCATCATCATCATCATCATCATCATCATCATCATCATCATCATCATTATCATCATCATCATCATCATCATCATCATCATCACCATCATCATCATCATCATCATCATCATCATCATCATCATCATCATCATCATCACCATCATCATCATCATCATTATCATCATTATCATCATTATCATCATTATCATCATTATCATCATCATCCTCATCATCCTCATCATCATCCTCATCATCATCATCATCATCATCATTCTCATCATTATTATCATTGTCACCATTATTATCATTGTCACCATTATTTATCAATCATCATCATCACCATCACATCATTATGAATTTTAATGATGATTTTGATTGAAATATTTTTAAAAAATAATTTTTAAAGTAAGAAGACTGACTGATTCTTCTTTTGATAAACAATCATGTTTTTCTCTTTCCAGCTTTAGCTTACGGTTGGCCCCTTTTGCCTAAAAAAATACATATAAAGCATTAAAATCAGTTAAAATGACAATTATATGAAAACACTTTTTAAAGTTTGAATAGCTTGTATCTATGGAGATTTGTATCTTGACTATCAAATATTATGGTAAAAAGTAATGAGAAGACACAAACCCAACAAGCTCATGACATTTGCTGCAATCAGAATTTCCAAGAAAAGGTACTAAAATATATATTTAAAAAGGTACTTGACTATTAGTTCAAATATATAAATGAACTGCTTATATAGCTTACACGAAAAACTTTAATCTGACAACCAGCAGAATACTTTGGTTCTTTATGTGGAAAATCAAAACCAAGTATGTCAAGTTGCAAACGAAGGACAACACCACTTTCTCCCTAGAATTATTAAATACTATTACAATTATAAAATGTTCTGTGTCATCTATACTATCTATATATTTTGTATTATGATATAACAAATAGAAAAATATTATTTGTTATATCTTAACAAGTAATAGTTTTGATCAAAAGTCTATAACTTAACTTTATGGATATATATCATATTAAAATAGCCATCTGTGAAGGCTTCAGTGCATACATCAACTAATTGTTTGGGTAGTTACAATCTGCATTAGGGTTTTAATTTTTGAACTTTTTTTAATATTTTGCCAAAAACAATGAAGTAAGATTTAATATTTCTTAGTTCCCAAAAATGGTTACCCTAAAATTAATATATGAAATAATTTTATATGTAACATAACTGATATATAACCTTTACTTGGTAACACTTTCTGAAATTTTTAATGACTTTTTTTCAGACCTTTTTCTTGAACTTCCATAATCTAATTAAAATATTTTAAAACATTCTAGTACTTTCTAAAAAAACTGTAGAGCTGCTTTGAACTTTCCAGAACTTTCTAGGATTTCTTAATTTGTCAGAAATATTTAGAACTTTCTGGAAAAATCAAAAGCTATATATATATATATATATATATATATATATATATATATATATATATATATATATATATATATATATATATATATATATATATATATATATATATATATATATATATATATATATTTATATATATATATATATATATATTAGGGTGTCCCAAAAAACAACTTTTTTAAAAATAATCTGCTCTCACCCCCTAAATGTGTTCTATATAATACAAAAACACTAAGTTTAAATTTTTTTTAAATAAAAAATAATTTAAAGAGTCCCTCAAGACCCTCAAATATTTAATGGGTCCCTAATTTCAAAAAAAAAGTATTTAAAAATTATGTCAACCTGGTACTCAAATGAAGCAAAATACCGTTACCTATCGTTTTTTCCAAAATGAACATTATTTTTAAAATTTTTATATAATTTCGCTATATATATATATATATATATATATATATATATATATATATATATATATATATATATATATATATATATATATACATACATATATAAACATATATATACAAACATATATAAACAAATATATATATATATATATATACATGTATAAACATATATACGTGCTTTTTATGTGGTTTTTGAGGTACATGCACTTGTAAAAACATAAAATATTTTTATTATTGATTGTAAGCTTACTACATTATTTTATGCCAAACATGGCATGTATGTGTACACAATTCACCATTTAATGAATTAAATTAAATGAAATCAAAACTGTTGTTGATAAACTTAACACTGATTTAAAAAGTTGTTTTCGAAAATAAAAAGATATAGTTCATATGAAAATTGCAGGGACGCCAGATCCCTATTTTAAATTGAAGTTTGTTAAAGAAAAGAAAAATAATAGAACAAATTCAAGAGGAAAAACTCTAAAAGGCAAATGTTATGAATAAAAAAGATCAAAATAAAACTGTTATTTCATTTATTTATTTATTACAGATTTAATTAAAAATGGATATAATTTTAAAACCAATAATTTTCAAATTAGTTATTTTTTATTTTATTTTTTTTGTAGTTAATTTTATCTACTATTTGTTTAGTGTTAAATGATTTTACAGTCATTTAAAAAAATGATAATAATAATAAAATAAAATAAAAATTACTTTTTTGTGATTTGAAAAAAACAGCAAACAGTATTAATGCACTTACTTTTTTTAAAAACATTTTACAAATAAAATATAATAATGAAGGAGAGGCCCTTAACATTTAACAAATTAAAAAAACAAAAATTTATTAAACTGCAACAATAAAAAGTTGTAAGGATTGATGTAACCAAACAATCCAAAGTTTTATTTAAATTTAAATTTGAAGGATTCATTAAACAAATATTTGCATTTAACAAATGAATTTTAGACTCAAATACTCATTTCCAGCATCTATACCAATCTCTGACCCACTATGCACAGGGCTAATGGGTTAGGCAATTAGCACTATCCTAAAAAGACTAATAGCTACTTTACCTACAAGAAAGTGCTAGTAGCTACTTTACCTACAAGAGACGTGAAAAAATTGAAAAAATTTATTGTTAAAAACTGTGACTTAAACTGGAGAAGCGTTATGTTAAACCATCTAACCTTTAGATGAATGGATAACAAAGATAGACAATAATGTTGACTCATTCTAATTTAAGATTCATAAAACAAACCTATGTAAAGAGTCAAAAAAAAAGAAGAAAGGAGCAAAAAAAAAAAGCTTGTTTTTTTATAAAGAGCTATTTTTCTTAAAAAAATTAATTTTTAACTATAAAAAGGCAACTTTATTCCAATTTTGGTCCCAGGCACTAATGATCCCTCTTATCTCTTTATTTTATGTCTAAAAATACATAATTGTTAATTTATTTAAAAAAATTAACTCTGCAACCTAGAAAATGTGCAATAAACTCCTAAAAAATGCATTATTTGCTCTCTCTAAATATAAATGTCTTTCATTCTTCTAAAATAAATTTCAACAAATAAAAATTAAACAAAAATAAAAAATTACTTACACTCTTGGTTTTAGTAAATTCCGAACTCAGGCAGTTGACCTGAAAAGACCAGAAACAACTAAAAATCTGTTTGCTTTTAGAAAGGTATTGTAAAATATCAGGTGGACACAGAACAATCCCGTAAACTTTAAATTGAAATTTCTCAGAAACCACAAAAGCTTTTCATTTATTTTATATTTTTCAATTAAACGTTGCTTCCTTATATTTAATTGTGTTGATAAACATTTGTTTACAAATTAATGATTTGACAAATGTTTTGAAAACCAATTGAGGTGCGTCAAAATGACGTGATTTTTTTTTGCGAAAATCCATCGACTTAATATTGCTTGATAGCTAAATGTACAAATGTCCCAAAATCTACAGTCATAGATATTATAAATAAAATCTACAGTCATAGATATTATAAATAAGTTTAAGACTACTCAAAGCTTCAAAATAAAAACCTGGAAGTGGAAGAAAGAAAACTTTTCATAAATCCAAAAAGGTATAGTCAATTCTTAGTTTAATAGCCCGAACCAGTCAAAGCGAGATCTAGCAAGAAAATTCAAGACTTCACTTATATCAAAAGTACTTAAAAATGCTGGAATTAAAGCATTTCATAAGAAAAATACACATAAGAGAAGCTTAAATGGTGAAATAAAAGGAATTCAATGTGAAAAGAAGTTGATTTAAATAATGGAGGATAAATGTTTGTGCATAATATAAATCAAGAAAACATATTGCAATTCAGATTTTTCATTTCCTGGTCAACAATTTTTATGAAAAGAAAGATAAACCTGTTGATGATCAATTTAAATATACACGATAAAAAAATTTGCATCCAAGTTTTTTTTGTGGCAAGCAATTTGTAGTTGTGGTACGCAGTCCTTTTTTTTATCACTAAAAAGACCTTGACTACAACAAAGAATGCCTTCGAAAGAGACTTTTGCTATTTATGAAAAAAACAAATACCGATGTCTCATTTTGCCAGATCTTGCTGCTTCTCACTTTTCTAAAAACTTCTACGGTGGTGCAAAGATAATAATGTGAATATTGTTCCTAAAGATGCAAATCCCCCAAATTGTTATGAGGAGCAAAAATTTGAAGATTTTTGGCCAATAGTAAAAGAGTTCTTCATAAGACAAGCGGAGTAACAAAAAGTCAAAAAGACTTCCAAAAAAAGTGGATCAATGCTACCAATAATGTTAAAAAAGAAAAAATCTGGAAAAATGGTGGCATCAACCCGCAATAAAATTCGATCTCTTGGCAAACAGCCCATCGAGCCCAATAAAACTTAGTTAAAACCCTAAATAAAGTAAACACATTTAATATAAAAAATTTAAAAAGCATTTATGATTTTAGAGCAATCTCAAATAAAAGTTGACCAAATTTTTCCGTGTCCACCCGATATACAATATCATTAAATAACAAGATAAATTTGACAACAGAAATATTTATCAAAAAAAAATCTTTTACTTTTATGAAAAAATGAGCATCAGTAGAGGGATCCCATTTAAATTCTATTTCTTTAGTATACTGGCCAACATAAACAGGATTATAAACTCCAAGAGACATAGGCATGTCTGAAATAAAAAAATTAATGGTATGAATAATAATATCGCCTTAACTTAAAAATATATCTTTCACATTTTAAAAAATTAACCAAAAAATATACCTAACTCAATCATTTTCACATCTGGTCTATTAGTTAGCCACTCTTCGTACTTTTCACTTTCAAAGTATTGATGTTGACGCTCATGAAAACCAATACTTAAAACTACCTAAGAACATTGCACAATCTCGTATTTGATATTAAAATACATTGCACAATCTCGTATTTAATATTGAAATACATTGCACAATATTTTTTTCAAATTGATAACAGCAAAAAATTGCCAAAAAAATGTAACAACTTTGCTTCAAAATTTAATTATATTTTTACCAACTTAAAAAAACACATATTTATTCCTGCAGATAGTATGACTCTTTAGTAATACTATCTGCACCTAATTTAGTTTGATGACATTAATAATATCATACTGGAATAAACAAATGTAGGAATTTCAGTACATACATTAACTAAGGGTATTGATAGATACAACTGAAATAAAGAAATAAATAACAAAATTGTGTATTTTTCTTCTTTTATGTATCTAACTTAATCTTAATCTTGCATGTTATTCAATAAATATAAACCCTAAATTATTAACTTTCTTTAATCAAAGTTTAAATATTAAAAATATTATTTTTTCAAACATATGGCAAAAAATCCAAACATAAGAATTTTTAACGAGTAAATAAGTAAAAAAATATATATAATACAGGCTTGGCCAGGAAGGCGTGTGATTTCAAGTCTTTATATGACCACGCAAATAATATTTTGCTATGATGATTTAACCACTGCTTTTAACAAATGCGCTAAAAAAATGGTTTTTTAATTATGTTGAAAATAAATAAATTTGACGTGTTTATCTTTACTATCATTTTTATATTAGCAAAACGCTTTTAAATAAAGATTTTAATTATCATTGAAAGTTGTATATTTCTTTATTTATATTATTTAATTATATAAGACTTTTTTATAAGTAAAAATAAAAAAAGTAAAAGTTTAAAAAATTTTTTTTTTTTTAAATTTAGACTTTAATAAGCGAAGGTCTCTAATAAACTTCATACAAGAATCATTGAAGTTTTTTTTGAGAAGAAAAAAAAAAACTTTTTTAAAAGCCATTTGAATTAACTAACTTCGATCTTTACTTACGTTTTTATTTTATTGAATTTAAATAAAGTAACAAGCCACTGCTAAAGATTTTTTATAAAAACATATACTTTTTTAAAAGTATTTATTTTTTATCATAAATGTTTTTAAATAAAAAAAAATTAAATCAAATTTTTAAATAAACGATTTAATTATTTTTTCTTTAGTGTAAAGAATTAAGAATCTTTTTTAAACTTTTAAATGCACACATTTATTAAACAATCATCAGTTGTTAGTTGTTACTTTATTTAAAAAATGTTTTGCATAATTTGCATAATTATATTAAAAAAGCATTAGTAAAGATAAACGGCTTAAAATTATTTATTCTAAACGTAATTTAGATAATCTTATCATTATAGTTTATTATTTAATTTAGTTAAGTTTTAATTTTATTTCTGCTGTTTTAGTTAAGTTATTTTTATTTTATTTTATTTTGTTTTTTTACCAAGATTTATGTGCTTCTTTTACGATAAGTTTTTTTTTAAAGTTTTTTTATAGTTAAGATAATTTTTTTAGCACGTTTTCAAAACATATACGAATTTTCAAAACATATTAACAGCCGTGGCCAAGTTAAGTAAAATCAAATAGTATTTGCTTGGTCATATTATGACATGAAATCGCACACCTTACTGGCCAAGTCTGTAATATATATTTTTTTACTTATATAAATATATAAATATATATATATATATATATATATATATATATATATATATATATATATATATATATATATATATATATATATATATATATATACTATATATATATATATATATATATATATATATATATATATATATATATATTTATATATATATATATATATTTATATATATATATATATATATATTATATATATATATATATATATATATATATATATACATATATATATATATATATATATATATATATATATATATATATATAGTCTTGCATGTCTCTTGCGTAGCATCAAAAAATATTTCCCATAAACTGTAGTTTTAAAGAGCGTGTTAATAAACCAGACCAGAAAAAGTTTTGAAAATTAATTTTTTTTTTTTAATTGATAGACTGCCTGGCCAAACCAAACCCTCAGTCGATGTAGCAGCACTCTCTTGCGAGTCAGGCTATTTGTCAGTCGTTGTAGCAGCACTCCCTTGCGAGTCAGGCTATTTGTCAGTCGATGTAGCAGCATTCCCTTGCGAGTCAGGCTATTTGTCAGTCGATGTAGCAGCACTCCGTTGCGAGTCAGGCTATTTGTCAGTTGATGTAGCAGCACTCCGTTGCGAGTCAGGCTATTTGTCAGTCGATGTAGCAGCACTCCGTTGCGAGTCAGGCTATAAGATAGTCGATGTAGCAACATTTACGCATGTTTAAAAAATGTTTTTTATTAAATCAATAACAAAAACACCACTAATTAAAAAAACTTTCTAGTCGTTATAATTGCGGTTTTTTAAAAATTTTTGAAAAAACAATTAAATTTAATGTACTTCCGCATAAATTAATTGCTTTGACATTTCGATGACAATCAAAAACAGCTTAAGAGACGAGGTAATTAAAATTGTAGTCGTAAGAGACTTTTTTTACATTAAAATGCTCTTAAAGCGACACTATATGAGTATATATATATATATATATATATATATATATATATATATATATATATATATATATATATATATATATATATATATATATATATATATATATATATATATATATATATATATATATATATATATATATGTATATATATATATATAAATGGATTGGCTTTTTTTTGTTGTTTAAAAGAATAATAAAACAATTTAAAAAAAAAAACAAGGAAACTACCTCTGCCATTTTACCAGGAATTATTTTTTTTTTTTCATCTTCAGAAGTCTGTATAATAACTTCATAAGGTTGCCCTAAATAGTTAAGAACTTATAGAGCAGCAATAAATACAAACCATAACTTTCATTGAAACATTAGTATAATAGTGTAAATTTAAGGTATAGCATTTTTCTTTAGTACTGACTAAAAAAAAGTCTGACTGCTTTAACTCATATCAGTCCAAATTCGACTTGATAGGAATTCGCTTTAGTCAAACATTTGTTAAGTGAAACCATTTTCTTTAATCTCTCGGAGGTTTGAGTAATCGGGATCTAACTGTAGATATAATGACACTCAATTTATTTTTTGAGACAGAATCACTAATAAGATGATTTATTTTGTATTTAAATTGAGTTCAAAACATACAGTGCTTGGATTTAGGGGGATTAGTTAACTCAAACTAAGTTTCTTAGCTACAGGTTATATAGTTGTGGGATGTGTTTTTATATATAGTTTTCTTTTCCTTGGTGAAAAGTTTTACTAAAGATAAAAAGCTAATTTAAAATTAAACTTTATTTTTAAAAATAGCTCAAGCCTTTTTATAAGGACAAAGGCTAGCCCATTTGCTGAGGTAGTCTGGAAAACAAGCCAGTTTTAAAATTGTGTTTATATGAATTTTGTCATCTTTCGTACCAAAAAAAAAAAAAAATGATATTGAGGTCAGCCTGCAGGGCTGGCCTCTTTATCGGTAAAATAATATTTTTAAAGATGGCGGCCTTATCAAAAAAAAAACACTGCATTTTAACAACATGTTTAACTGGTGTTATAACACAAAAAGCGCCTCTTAAAAACCTAATATTATTATATAAACTTCACGAATTTAAACTTGATAATTTTTTTAACATTATTCTTCTACGTAAACGATCACGATCACTTCAAAAGATGAAACAAGCAAAAGAGAGGCACTTAAAAAGAAAAAATTGTTGTTGCTGGTTTAGAACTGTCAGAACTAATTTATGGTGGCATAATATAATAACTGGTGTAGCTCCCAGTGATGTGTGGAAAACAAACTTTAGGCTTTCATGTTTTCTTTTCATGGATTTGGTTTTAGAGTTAAGCCCTTATTTATCTCCTGATCCTTTTTAAACTAACTCTAATTACTCTAAGCTAGTTTTTATCTGCTATATTCACAGATAAAAACTAACTATTACTTTATATTACTTGAAAGATACTTATGAATAATCTTTATAAATGACTGCAAATACTTTTGGAATTGCAGTATGCACTGCTTCTGCCGTTATAATTTCAGTTTGTGAGACAATATCGAAGTATCTTGGGTCTAAGTATCTCTTTCTTCCAAAAAATCAAACTAAAATGCGAAATAAATATGTATTCAATTCCTCTAATCAAATATTTGAAGATGCCCTTAAAAAAAGTGGTTTTGAAAATTTTGAACTAAAATTTGACCCTGAAAAAAAGAATACAAATAAACGAAATAGAACTAGAAATGCAATTTGGTTCAACCCCCTATATAGCAAAAATGTTTCCATAAACATAGGTAAAGTGTTTTTAAAATTAGTCAATAAGCATTTCCTTTCTAATAAATTACATAAAATTTTAATTGAAATGCAATTAAAGTTAGCTACAGTTGCACAAAAAATATGGAAAGAATTTTAAAAGGTCGTAATAATGCTATGTTAAACAAAAAAGAAATCCTAAATGAAAAAACTACGGAAAATTGTAATTGTAAACAAAAAAAAAAAAAAACAATTATCTAATGAGTGGAATCCTTTAAAAATAAAAAGTATTTTAAAGACACCATGCTGTCAAAATATATATGGGAATTAAAAGATAAAAATACTGATGATTTTATAATGAATTGGTTTATCCTTAAAACAGCACCTTCATATAACAATATTTCCAAAAAATTTATAATACTATGCCTACAAGAAAAATTTGAAATTATTAAACATGCAAACCAAGAATGTTTATTAAACAAAAAATCGGAATTGATTTCTAAATGCAAGCACAAAATAAGTTTCTCCTAAAAAACTATAAAAATAAGTGAGCTCAAATAATAATTACATTAAATCCCCCCTTTTAAAAAATGTTAAAAAAAAAGCAGAAGTAATCACTTCTAAAGAATTCTTTTTATAAGTGTCAGCATATTCCACAAACGTGTGAAAATTTACAGTAGTTATAACATTTGCGACTTCCTGTAATTTAATTTTTTGGTATAAATTGAAGTTTTATTAATTTGATCATTCATTTCTGATGAGTCTATTGATAAATAGGGGTGGGAGTTAAGGTTAGTTTTAGTCTAACTAAAGATACTTAACTAAATTTTTAGTCTAACTAAAATTAGTTATTTAAGTTTTTAGTTAACTAAAATTAGTCGACTAACTTATTAGTTAACTAAAATTACGCGACTAACTTTTTAGTTAACTAAAATTACCCGACTAACTTTTTAGTTAACTAAAATTACCCGACTAACTTTCTAGTTAACTAAAATTACCCGACTAACTTTCTATTTAACTAAAATTATCCGACTAACTTTCTAGCTAACTAAAATTACCCGATTAACTTTTTAGCTAACTAAAATTAAGCGACTAACTTTTTAGTCTAACTAAAATTAGTCGACTAACTTTTTAGTTAACTCAAATTAGTCGACTAAATATTTAGTGAAACTAAATATTTAGTTGACTAAAGCAAGATTTAGTGCTTGAAAAAAGGAATAATCTTTCGCATAAAAATTTTACACATGAGGAAGGCGATTTATTATTAATAATTATAAATATAATTAAGGCGAAAGATATTATTATATCGTAATTAAACACTTTACTAGTTGTGAATCCTAGAGCCCAGTCGAACTAAACTGTTATTTAAAAGAAATGTTTTAAGCAAAATTCAATTATTTTAATTTTTTTCCAGCTCTGAGACAACTGCCTATGAAGTTGTTGCAACTGTTTATAAACACCCAATCAGCATGGAATATACAAATAATGCCCTTTAGTCAATTACATCAAATTTGGTACGCTTATTGAACGTTTAACTTATATTTTTTATGTGCTGCTTCTTATAGGAAGTGTGCAATAACAATCACAAATCAAAAATAATTTCTCCTGCCAAGGCCGTACCGACATGAGTATGGGCACCTTACCGGGGTTACAACATTCTGTCGGTTTTGTCGGTAATTTATAAAATTTGAGACTCAATCGGTTAAAACTGCAACTTGGCTTTTAAATAAAAAAAGCCCTACATTGGTGAGATTTTTATGGTAAAAAAGCTTATTTCATTTGCACCCCCCTCCCTCTACATCTTCGTTGTTCAGTACAGCCCTGTCCCCTGCTGTATACTAGAAATAGATTCAATCTCTAATTTTCACAACAAGTCTATGACTCCCCCTCCCCACCTCTTCAAATATCAACCTCTCCTAACGGCTATTACAACCCGCAAACACTTTAGTAAGGCAGGCGAAAGTATTGACATGAACCCAAAAGAAAATGGTTAAATAAGTTATTATGAATTTATTTTTTTTTGCTTTCAGAGTATAGTTGTTTGTCGGTTGGCGATACCTGCAAAATTTAAAAGGAAAATTGGTATTTGCATTTTTGAATGCAATATCCGCAATATAAATTGTTGAATAGTGTATAAAATGTATTAAATAATACTTAACTGTTGAATAACGAAAACATTTTATTAAGTAACTGCGGTCGCTTTTAAAACCAGGAAATTGTTTATGACATTTTAATTACTTGAAAAATGCAATACGTAGTTTTTAAGCACTTTAAAATACGTGTAAAACTGGGTCAAAACAATTATAAATTAAAATTCAATAACTTTTTTATTATATTTATTTTTATATTTTTTCATTAGATGTTTAAAAAAATACTAAAGAATATATAAATAAATATAAAAAAACAAACAACCAAACTATTAAAATAATAACGGTAAAAAAGTTTGCTGTTTTAGGCAACATTATAATAAAACCGCACGCTCAAGAACATTAAAATCACACATTAATTTTTTTAATTTTCAATTTTTTCTTTATCTTTTTTTTTAACACATTTTAAATTTAAAAAACTATATTAATTTTTTAATTTTTTGTATCAAAAAAAAAAAATCAGTTTTACTCAAAAGAGTTCGAATACTAAATTTAATAATATTTCTTTTAGAACAATAAATATATTAAAAAATATTTATTACAAGAAAAAACTTCAGTATTATATTTAATGAATTTAAACTAAATTAAAAAATTCCAAATTTTCGTACAAAAACATCAATATTTGAAAACATTCAGTTGTTATTCTGTTTTGCTTTGCATACGTAAGTATAAGTTTGCATACGTTTCGCTTTGCATGCATAAGTGTTTAATGCCTCAGAGAAAAGTTGTTCACTTAGTGCACTGGTAGCAGGCGTACATAAAATCATTGTTGAAATACAATACATTATTGGATATACATGTTAATTTTGATAGCAAAAGTGTAAAAACATTTTGCTCATTTACTGACAATTTTATATAACCACAAATTTCTCTTTTTAAATCTAAACTTATTATTTTGTCACTATCGTTTCCGGAAATATCATCTTCATCGTCAAATGATAACTTAAGTTTTTTTAATTTGTTTGTCACCTTTTTAAATAGAATTATGTCACAAACTTTTTTTGTTTAATGAAATTTCGACAAAAATTCTCTAACACATTTAAAAAATTTTTTTCCCTTGTACTTTTCAAAGAATTGAAAACTTTTATAATTTGGATCAAAAAAAGTGGCACATAATAAAACCAAGTAATTGTAATATACTGTAGCTTACAGGGCCGGCACAAGTAGGTAACACATAGAGAGTGCCGTTAAAATTTTACTTACTAGAAATAGGAAAAAAAAATTCTTGTTTTTATTTACCAACTGACTGTTCTGAAAATCTACAATTGCCAACTTACTTATCTAAAAGAGTCAAATTGGCTTACTAAATGAGCTAAAAGTTCATTGATGGGATGTCACACACGAAACCAACCAATCCATCCTTACACCCCTTTGCGTTGGCCTTGGTAGCTTATTCAATTCTATAGATATTTGTGTTTTACTATGTTTACTTTTTGGATTTTTTATGAAAAATTTTCTTGAAGTATCTTGTTTATAATAGTTTCTTGAAGTAAATTATTTTGATATTTTTTTATTTTTGCGGTATTATGCAATAAAATGATTATGCATTCGCAATCTTATTCAAAAATTCTAATAGAAATGATATCATGTACCCAAATTATTTATATTATATATTTATAAAATTCTTTAGTTGGACTAAAAACAAAGGCGCGTATATTTAGTTAACAAAAAGCTTAGTCGGTTAATTTTAGTTAACTAAAAAGTTAGTCTGGTAATTTTATTTAACTAAAAAGTTAGTCGACTGATTTTAGTTAACTAAAATGTTAGTCGGGTAATTTTAGTTAACTAAAAAGTTAGTCGCGTAATTTTAGTTAACTAAAAAGTTAGTCGACTGATTATAGTTAACTAAAAAGTTAGTCAACTAATTTTAGTAACAGTATTTTTAGTTTAGTTAGTTACAATTTTTAGTTTTGGTCACAACACTATTGATAAAACACAGTGTTAAATGAAAAAAAATTTTACTAAGTGGTTTTCTACTACTTTATAATTGCTTCTCATTTAAAGTTTTTCCTTTTTTTTTTTATCAATAAATCAGCCATTTTGAGTGAGAGTTGTCAGCAGTATAATTTTAAATGCAAATAATAAAATTAAAATTTAATTATAAAAGCAAGACAATTAAAATTTTAAGTACACGGATGTTGCCAGTTATTAAGTTTATTATTATATGCAGAAGCTTTCAAACTTAAGAAATGTAAGAGTTTTTACGCATGCGTACAAATTTATATAAGAATTTATATTTATATAGCCAGCCTGATCGAGATCTCTGCAAAAAACAGTGAAATCTTGCCATCCGGGCTAGCTTGTTTATTCATATAAACGCAAAAAAAAAAAAAAAAAAATAAGTTGAAATAAGGATGACATCGTTATCTTGGCAAACAGGCTAGTTTGGCAAACAAACCAGCCCACTTTCCATATAAACAGGCCCTAAATGTATCTACAGCAATCTTAAAGATATTTTACAAAACCATTTTTTTACAAAGCTTTTTCTCTCTGATAATTATTAGCATTTAACTTAAAATTTTAAAACATCAATTGGTACCAATAAATTATTTATTAGTTTTTCTTCAGTATAATAAAATTAATTGTTTTTTATAATAATATGCTTGATTAAAAAAACATAAATTTAGTTCAATACATATAATTAGCATTTGGAAAATAAGTTAATGAAAAAGGGCATACAAAACACCTTGATTGAGCCATGTTAAAGTTTCTTCTTCAACTTTTCTACCAGGTGCAGTAGGTGCTTTCATAATTATTGTGTAACTATAAAACAATACTATTTTAAAATACTTTTACTAAATGAATATTTTTATTTTACTATATTTATTTCATTACTATATTACCTTATAATATCTAAATATTAAGAAGGAGAAGAGGGAGTAGTAACAGTTCCAGTAGTAGAAGTAGCAATAGTTGTTGTTATTGTTACAATCCTCTCTCAACCCCTATTCCTTAAAGCACAAACTTTGGCCAACAACGCTGTCACACAGATAAACAAATACTATTAAAGGGATGACAGAAATTAAACTCAGTACTTAGGATACAAGGGCTCTACTACTACTAATTAACTTTACTTAAAAACTTAAGATATAATAACCTGTTGCACCAACAAATCCGGATTAATATAAATAACTAATAATACAAAAAATTTAATTTAAAAAAAATCCTCTTTATTTAATAAATTCACTTCCCCAAGACCCGGAGGGCGACTATAGCCAAAGAGGCTGCAATCCCTCCAAACCTAATTTTTGTTATACCCCTCTCTCAAATCTTTAACTCTGAAATGCAAACCTTGACAAATAATTTCACAAAGAAACAAGTTGATTGCTTTCATAGACATGATGAAGGTTCAGTATATCAAATATATTAAAAACCAATTTTTCAAATAATACAGATACAAAATTGCTACTTTGTACCAATTTAAAAACATTTTAAACATTTTTCAATTAACGCAGAAAAATCTAATTGCTAAGAAATTTTTCTTTTTTTTTTGCCTTACCACTTTTTGCCTAGAGTACACATTGAACCCTGGATCTCTTGCTTCTAAAGCAAGTGCTCAAACCACTAGACCATGGCTGCTATAATTAATAACAGGGTTATTTTTTTTTTATTTAAAATAATGCCCAAGTTCATTATTTTTTATCTACATATAATCTACATTGTATTATTATGTTAGATTTGTGCAGATTTTTAAGTAAATAAAATTTTAATCACCAGTAACTATTACCCTCTGAATTTTAAAAATGATAAAAATAGACATTTTCAAAACCTCATAATATAATTTTTTAACTCTTAACAAGTGTCTAATTTTTAGTAGAATTTTCTTCTTCTAAAAATAGTTGTTTTTTTTAACACCGCTTACATTTTAAAAAAATATAACCTCCTTAAATTGAGAAAATTTTTAACAGGTTAGCATACTGATAAGCTACTATTATCTGTATTTAAATCTAAAAAGTTTTTTATATCACTTTGTTTAAATCTGAGATTTATAAAAAACAAGAATTACATTCAGCTATTTAAAAATGCATAAGTTTTTAACCAGCTATAATCTGAGCTCCTCCAATGCATTAAAGCCAGAAATAATGGAATATTGTTATCTATGGACTTTAATAAGTGCAACAACAATAACAACAACAACAATACCAACAACAACAACAACAATAGCAACAACAACAACAGCAATAACAAAAACAACAACAATAATAACAACAACAACAATAAAAACAACAACAATAACAACAACAATAACAACAGAAACAAATGCAACAACAACAACAACAACAACAGTGAAAAGGGAAAAAAAGAGAAAAGGAAAAATAAAACTACAACAATACCAACAACAATACCAACAACAACAATAATAACAACAACAACAATACCAACAACAACAACAACAATAACAACAACAACAACAGCAATAACAAAAACAACAACAATAATAATAACAACAACAATAACAATAACAACAACAACAATAACAACAATAACAACAACAACAATAACAACAAAAACAAATGCAACAACAACAACAACAACGGTGAAAATGGAAAAAAAGAGAAAAGGAAAAATAAAAGAAATTATTTTAAAGAATAAAACAGATTATTTAAAAATAAAGTTTATAACTTCTTATATTTTTTTTTATAACAAAAATATTAGAAGTTATAAAGAATATTAATTTAAAAATAAAGTAAAATAACAAAAATATTAGAAGATTAAAGGAAAAAAAAAAAAGAACAAACAGATTTAATAAAATAAAACAAAAAAAATCAATAAAAGCAAAGTAACAAGTTAAAAAAAAAGAAGTTTGAAAAATGTTCAAAAAAATAATAAAAAGAACTAATTAAAATAAAAATAATTTGCCACAAATTTTCTATGCTTTTCTGTTTCCGCCAAGAATAACAAATATAATTTATATTATTTTGTAGAAGTTTTTGTGTTTGTCTTTTTGTTATGTAATTTTTGTTTTTGCTTTGTAGTTTTTGTGTTTGCCTTTTCGTTTCCATAAAGTTTGTTATTATTTGGGCTGTTGTTGCTAATTATTTTTATTGTTGCTATTGACTGTTTTCATATTTTTTTTGTCTTTTTATTTAATTAATTATAGCTCAATCATTTTTTTTTAATTAATTTATTTTAAGCTTACTTTTATTTATTAATACTTTTGTTTATTTTATTTAGGTGTCACTCCAATGACTAGTTTTTAACTATGAGTGACACCTAAGCTAATTTTGTAAAATTATAAAAATTTGTAATTTTCAATTTTTGGTTAAATAAATGAATAAATGGATAAAAATATATATACAAATATTTATTTATGTGGGTGTGTACATACATCGATTTTCTTATAGCCTGCTGCCACTAAGTAGTCCAGCTACATTGACTGAGAGTTTGGGACAAGGCAGCAATCTTTTCTTGCATTATTCTTCATCTTTTCTTTTCCTTTAAAAAAATTGTATGCTATATACATTATATATATATATATATATATATATATATATATATATATATATATATATATATATATATATATATATATATATATATATATATAATATATATATATATATATATATATACATATATATACATATATACATATATATACATACATACATATATACATATATACATATATACATACATATATACATATATATATATATATATATATATATATATATATATATATATATATATATATATATATATATATATATATATATATATATATATATATATATATAGATATTTATATATATATATATATATATATATATATATATATATATATAAATATATATATATGTATATATGTATACATATGTATACATATGTATACATATGTATATATATGTATATATATGTATATATATATATATATAAATATATATATATATGTATCTATGTATATATATGTATATATATGTATATATATGTATATATATATATATATATATATATATATATATATATATATATATATATATATATATATATATATATATATATATATTGTTACTTATCTCCAAATGTTAACGTATGGTCCTTTAGTTACTACGCTTTAGATAATACGCATAAATAAATGTTACGAGTTACTGATAATCCAAACAACACTTCGTATCAACTTGTAACAAATATAAATACTAGTTTCAATTGTCCCGATATATTATATAAAACCGTATAAATATAATACAACTTGTTTTATTATATCTACAAATCGAGAACACAAACCAAGAACTGGATCAAGAACTGGATCAAAAACTGGATCAAGAACTGGATCAAGAACTGGATGAAGAACTACGAATGTTTGTTAACTGACGTTTTTATACGTTTTGTTTAAACGCTAGACGCGTTTCGGTTCATAAACAAATTGTTTTGGTACGCTAGCGTCTATGCTACACGTCTATATGGTTCAATAAACTTGAATTATTCAAGCGTTCTGCTTGAGTAACCCACCTTCGTAACATTACTAACGACGAACGAAAAGTCCGTCCTCGGAATTAAAAGTGTCATCAAAACAGCGACAATAGTATAATCTCAAGTGAGTAGCAAACGGGTAATCGCCAATATCTCATTAAGGAAAATTAACAGCTCGGAAAACGAAACAGCATCATTGCACATTAGCAACTTAAAAATTCATCGTAATAGAATAGCATCATAAAAATCATCGAAGACAGCATCAGCAATTTAAAAATTCATCGTAATAAAACAGCATCATAAAAATCATTGCAAAACAGCATCATTGCACATCAGCAACATAAAAACTCATCGTAATAAAACAGCATCATAAAAATCATTGCGAAACAGCATCATTGCACATCAGCAACATAAAAATTCATCGTAATAAAACAGCATCATAAAAATCATTGCGAAACAGCATCATTGCACATCAGCAACTGAAAAATTCATCGTAATAAAATATCATCATAAAAATCATTGCAAAATAGCATCATTAAAATTGTTGAAAACAGCATCATTGCAAATCAAGCTCATCGTTTGTTCCAAACAGCACTATAAAAGTTCATTGTAATTATCGTAAAATTTTTTTGCTAAACAGCATTGTTGCAAACAGCAACACAGCGCAAGAAAAACAGAAAAATTGCATTTTTCAGGAAACTCGTGGTGGTTGGAGGCGTCTCACATCTCCATCCAGGAATTATACAAGATTTAATTCCTGCCATTACCGTTCACCGGTATTCTTTTTACTCCCTATGAACTACCTTACAAGCTGAGCAAATACGTGGGTGACAACCTTTTACTCTAGGAGACATTGTCGTGGACTGATCCTGGCATGGCTGTACTACAGTTTTATTAACCAATGGTATTTGAAAACATCTTAAGCAAGGCAGGGAATAATTTAAATTAGGCTTGTTCAAGATTAAATATATTACTATTAAAAGTATTGCTGCCAAAGAATGGATCCACTTATACCACCAAAGAATTTCTGAAAGAAGGATCCTGCACCTTCTCCAACATCTTTCACAGCCCCACCGGCGGCTGTTAACACCGATGAGGAAGCGTCTCCAATTGACCAGACTAGCTTCTCATCTAAGTTGGAAACTCCATTCAATGAATCCTTTATAGCACCCTTAAAGGCTTTAATGATCTGGCTTCCTCCACTTGCGGTGGCTTGTAAGACACTTCCTAAAGCTGTGCCAATACCATTCAAGACATCTCCACCGTTGGTGTCGCTGATAGTTTTGAGCGTCTGAAGAGTTGTATGGGAACTAGATATTAATTGTAAAACAGTATATGGCGAGAGCCGT